GAGTTTTTGAAATATTTGATTTTGACCTTTATTTGGTATTTTCTCTTTATCACTTTATATACAAATCTGTTTAGTGTGAGACTTTTTTCATTTGAAATTAGACTTGTAGATCTTCCTAAAAAAACTCTATTTCATTCAAAATAGATTTTATATAAAATTGTTATGAGTTTTCAAAGTTGGCTATTGAAGCTTCCAGACTTGCTGATATTTGTTCTTGGTCTCTGCTAACCATTTTCATCATATCTCTCCATGTACATTGAATTTTCCCCTAGTTATTATTTTGTTGGAAACTAGACATCTAGAGCTTTTCAACCATAGGCATTTCCCTAATTTGGATCTAAATTGATAAAGTTATTACCTTTAGAAATTGACCCACATTTTCTGGACATTCATATTGGTAGAAATCATTCATACTCGTATATTATTCTCAATGTTCATACTTACACTGATAGGAACCTTTTCATACCGATATGAACTCATTCATACTAGTATGAAACCTATTTGAACAATGCCTTTTTACAAAAGAGTTATTCTAGCATGTATCCCCAGTACCCATATAAAACCCAAACATTTTTCTTGCCAAATATTCTCCTCATACTTGTACCAAACAACCTATATTGATTTCAATGTAAATAATTTTACTTTGTTCTTCATATTCCTAACAGAGCATAGGAATCTACTCAAATCTCACTTAACTTGTAATCTTTTCAACTTTTATGAGTTGTTTATTCTCTTACCAATCTAGAAATCTTTTAAACATAACCACTGATTAAAAGTAATCTCCTATTCAATCTTTAGATTATCTTTCATACCGGTACCAACTCTATCATGCCGGTATCTTTACCTCATATTGATATAACTCCATCCTACCTAAATGTCTAGTGCATCTTGTGCTTGATTATTCTACTGGTATATTTCCAATGTCTTATTCCTACTGGAATGTCCTTTGTCCTATCGATAGATGTCTTCTTCAATCAATTTATTCTATGATCAATCATTTTGGTATATCTCTTTTCTACACGTATGAAGTTCTTCTTCATCTACATTAATTTAGTCATACTTCAATCGATATATCCTCACTTCTACTAGTATATCTTTAAATATGTTACCTCTATTTTTCTTATAAACTCTAATCTTTTCAACTTTAAAGTGTTGTGTTCACTTTCTTATCATGCTAAAATATTTTTAAACACAACTAAGGGTAAGATCAAACTCTGATTCAATCTTTGATTAAATCTTTATACTTGTATGTCTTTGCTCTACCGGTATTTCATTTACCTTTTCTCAGAGCATTTAATGCATATAACTGTTACTTTCTTTAAGTCAACGATAACATGCAATAATGCCGTAAAGTATTGTTTTATTGGCCTAATCTCCGGCATACTCAGAAGGAAAGAGAATGAAGTCTCTAACAAGTAGATTAAGGAGTCTAACATATCTTTTCGAAGTATCAACTATAAATAAAAGCATTTATGAAGACAAAAAAAAGGAGCTGCTGAGTTAATACGAGAGCTTATTCATTTCTTATTCACCTACCTTCTGCTATAATATTTATTACATTTAAGCTTCATTGATTATATATTCACTCTTAGAAAGTGTTTATACTAGTAATAGTTTATTATTGAACTTACTTTGTTTACCTCGGTGTTACGCAATTGAAATAGAGAAACTTAAGCTCAAGGAGCTTAAGGGAAGTTGATATTACTTTTATAATGGAGAGAGTTATAGACTTAAGGAGGAGTCTGAATTTTACTGTGGTAGCTAAAAGCTCAACTTAATCTTAGTAGAGATAGTGAAAAATTTCAAATGTATCTTGGGGACCGGACGTAAGCTCAAATGGTTAGAATTTAATTAGGATAAACAATCTGTGCAAGCTTTTCTTTCCTTTTTTCAACTTTGATTAGTGATATCATTCCTAATTTCATTTAATTCTTGTATTATCTGCTTTAATTTTTTATTTAGCCCAATTGACCCCCTCCTGAGCGAACTTTATAGAAGGAAGACTTATTTGTGTTTTATATGGCCTAAAAACACCCCCAAAAATGTGTGGAAAGCAAACCCTAGCAAAGAACTCTCGCTTCTTCTCAGCCTCTCTCTCAAAAGTCAAAACTCCTTATGTTTTGCTATTTGAAACACTAATATGATATTTTGAATTTTAGCACATTCACCATGGCTAATGACACTATTATTGTGGAGGATGACACATTTTAGGAACCCTAACTTAAGTCCATTTATTTGGGCCTAAAGTAGTTCGATAGCTCTTCTAGTTTCCTTTTAAGCCTCATATAAGGGTCTATCCAATTACCTTAATCAATTTAATTAGGACTTGGATTAATTAATTTAACCATTTATTAAATTTAGTTAATCATATTCTAAATTTTACGATGTTACACCTTGTTCTCCCAAAGATCAACTGCTTATAGTATTTGGGAATCTAAATTTGGTTTTTTGCTTCTTGTTTTTTTTAGTTTTTTCTCTGTCTTTTTGGTTTTTTCTGTTGTTTTTTTTTCTTTCTAGTTTAGTAGTTACATAATTGTTGGTTTGTTCCTGGTTTTATGATATTCTCTTAAAAGAAACCTCTTGTCAACCTCCTTTTTGATGAATGTATATGAAATTGGGGGGGGGGGGGGATCCGATTACCATTCTTTTAAAATGTAACTAGATTTGTAGCCCACACGTGACAAAAGTCATCTTAAATTCACTCAAAAAAGAAAATCAAATATAAATAATGAAATATAGATGCTTTTTTTTTTCAATTACATGATAACCCCTTATCAATTTTCTTTGATGTTATGTTATAATTATCATTTAATGCCTATACTTAACAAACAAAAATATAAAAACACCTTAGTCCTTCACATTTTTATAAATTAAACCGACATTAGATTATCTCAAAAATACTTCATCACGCTAGTAGTAAAATTTTAACAGTATATATGGAAATGATTTTCAAGGAGGAAAAATAAGATTCCCAACCTCTCATATAAATTAAAACGACATTAGAAAATCTCAAAAACACTGAAAACTCTGATCTTAATGAGTGAAATATTATTTTAAATTTAAAAAATAATTACTATTACTATTACTATTACATCATTATTCAGCGTCGAGATATTGCTTAGTTCATGTAATATCACCATTCATGTGTCAACAATCAATAACTAACTAAATTTTATTTTTCTCGATATATATAATTGTATTCATTATATGGAATTTGAGGCGAGTATGAATCAATAGGACTAATTATAAGTTTTTCATTACATCATATTATCAACATATACACATTAGTATATATAGATTATGAATAACCTATTAGTATACCGTTTAAGAAATTGTTGAATCTTATATTAAAATCTCTTATTTGTCTAAGTAGTGTGTGTGTATGTGTGTGCATGTATTCAATGGCTTAATTTGGTGAGCGTGGCGAACAAATCATAAGTTGTTCCAGCCCATTTCAGAAAACATCCTTAAAATAGTAAAATTCGATATCTAACATTTCTTTGAACCGCTGCCTTGGGTGTAGCCGTGCAGGTGCCAATCTACAATAATTATCCATGCATAAATGCATGTACGAATAGTTTTGTTTTTTTTTTGGGTGAGCGCGAGATTATTTTATTTTTACCTGAGTTATCAAAGGCAAAAGATATGAAAATTATGATTCGAACCCTCAACTACTTTTAAATGATGAGGACTCTTATCACTTTCGTGCCAACTTTAATTGGTTGAACCAATATATACTTCCTTTGTTCAAAACTGTAAGACATTTTTTGAGGAGTTGAATGTTAAAAAATATAAAGTATTTTTAGCCTTTCGAGATATAATTATTATTTTTTTTAAAAGTATCCTTATTGATAATAACTTTATATTTATTGTAGGATATTTAGTAGGGGTAAATATAAAAAAATAGAATTAGTTAAAAAGTAGGTAACTATTTTATTAAGGAGTGATATTCGGTTAAAATGATTTACATTTTTTAATAGAGAAAGTAATAAATTAGATGTGGTAAGAATAGTTGTAGTATCCAAAACTACAGAAAAAATAATTAGGAATTTGAATTCTACAAGTAACTTAAATACATTTACTCAATGAATGTCTTAATTATAACAATTAGATTTTATTACAACTTGAAAGTTATCAATATACATTTCTCTCCAAAATTCAAAACAACTATTACGATCAAAACATTTTTCACTATGCTATCCCCTTTGAAAATTTCAGATTTAATACTTTTTGAATATTTTATGATATTTTTTTTTTACAATTATTCGAAGATAGAACTAAATCCAATTAGTAGTTGTAATTATAATGAGATGTTAATTTGTGTTTTTTTTTTTAAATTGAAGCTAAATGACACGATGGTTTATATACATAACCTGTGATGTTAAACCTGTTATTGATAGAAAGGCGATGTATACTAGATTTTTCTTGTTCAAAGGACCAAATATATATATGTGTGTGTGTATTAGATAGCATTATAATATAATTAAGGAGAGTATTTCATGAAAGCGCGTGGTAATTAATTAAAGATTAGCCAATTCTTCCATGTAAATATATAAGAAAGCTATATATTAAAATTCAATCAAAGCACTAAATAAATCAATTGTACACAGTACTCAAATACATTATTTCAGAAGAGGCGCCCCTATATAAATTGCGAAGCATAACTCACTCATTCCTGAATATAAATGCTTGAAACAATATATATAATCTTAAAAAGAAGATATTTAGAACGAGAAAAAATATATGTAGAAAATATTGTAATCTAAACAAGCCCTAGTTTCAGTGAACGGACACGAATAAATCATCTGCACCAAACCAAGCCATGCACATTGACCTTGTGCTATTCTCCGAGAAATATGAAATGAATTGCATTGCTATATTTTTATAGTATGTGGTGTGACAAAACACTCAAGTGCATGCATTGAAGAAGACGACCACGCGTATAAAACCCTCAAACTACTCAAAACCAAAGACACACTAGCTAGCTTGCAAAAGCGACAATGGAAGTTACTGATGTTGTGATCGTAGGTGCTGGCCCATCTGGTCTTGCAACCTCAGCTTGTCTGACAAAGTATTCGATCCCTCACATAATCCTCGAGAAACATGATTGTAATGTTTCTCTTTGGAGAAAACACACTTACGATCGAGTCAACCTACACCTTGCTAAAGAGTTCTGTTCTTTACCCTTAATGCCTCACTCACCATCAAGTCCAACATTTCTCTCCAAAGCTGAATTCCTCAACTACATCGACAACTACGTCAGCCATTTCAATATAAGCCCTCGTTACAATCGTATGGTTGATGTCGCTGTGTATGATGAAGCTGAGAAGAAGTGGAAGATTGAAACAACCAACACTCAAGTGGGAGAGCGTCGTGAAGCTTACGTGGCCAAGTATGTTGTGGTGGCGACCGGTGAAAACAGTGAAGAGTACATTCCTGAGGTGAGTGGATTGGACAGCTTCGAAGGAGAGATAGTGCACTCCAAGAATTACAAGTGTGGTTCTAAGTATAAGGGCAAAGAGGTTCTCGTTGTTGGCTGTGGAAACTCTGGCATGGAGATTGCTTATGATCTTAATGATTTTGAAGCTCGAACTTCCATTGTTATCAGAAACCCGGTGAGTCTATCAATCACTCATCGTTGGATTTGGAGTTACTGCTGTTTTCTCCACCGTACCTTGATGCCCAAAATCTCAACCTTTCATTTTAGCTAACGGTCACAGCAATTTCATCTAAATGAAAGTCTCAAACTACGGCATTAGGAGGGTACATATATATAACAGAGAATCTAAGGCAAAAGACATCCCAAATCCGGCCCTCAACGTTTAGCCATGATTTTGTAGCCCGTTATATATTATAATTCATTATTTGAAAAGAAAATAATGATTAATTTGATGGTGATTGTGCTTATATATAACTGACTTGTGTATAATAGGTGCATCTGCTTACAAAAGACTTGGTGCATCAAGGTATGTCCATGCTGAAATATTTGCCGACACAAAAAGTGGATACAGTGATAATGTTTCTTGCAAACTTGGAGTACGGTGACCTCTCTGAATTTGGTATTCATCGACCCGAGGAAGGACCTTTCTATCTTAAAAAAGTCACTGGGAGGTCTCCTGTCATTGACATCGGAACCATTCGAAAGATTCGAGACGGAGAAATTAAGGTTTTGTATCATCGTTCAAAAAGTTCTTCTTTATCTATATTTATGTGCCATATACGCATATTGAGTGGATAGCGGCATTTCAATGCTATCTCATCTATATATATAAGCAGGTCGTTCCTTCTGCGATAAAGAGAATTGAGAAGAAGAAGGTGGTCTTTGAGAACAATATGGAGAAAGATTTTGATGTGATCGTGTTCGCTACTGGGTTTAAAAGCATAGCTAACACCTGGCTCAAGGTTAATTATATTTCAATCAGCTCCTTTATATGTATTGGTTAAGTAAAGTTCATTGTTTATATAATTGGTTCATTCTTTTTTGCAGGACTACAAGTATGTTCTGAACGAAGAAGGGATGGCAAAGAATGAAGTTCCGAAGCACTGGAAAGGAGAGAAGGGGATATACTGCGCGGGACTTTCAAGGAGAGGTCTGTTTGGAGTTTCCATGGATGCAGAGGCTATTGCAGATGACATCAATCTTACCTTAAAATTGGCGGCTCAACCCTCTTCCTTACCATGAGATTACCTGTGTAATTTTGGGAAGTTCGAGGATTTTGAGAATTTATTTTTAAGTTATTCACATTTAAGTATTTTAATTTGGTGTTTTAGATCTTGAGAATCTGCTGAATTCTTGTATGATCAAGTTTAGCTCTCCTCCATTATTTTTAATAAATAAAGTTCCATTCGGTCAGTACAAGTACATCATATCTTATATATTATTAATAAGGTAATAACCATTATTCCTTTCATCATTATTCACCTTTTTTTTTGATAAAATCATTTATTCACATTCTAATTCTTACAATATAAAGTGAGGATTAATCAAATGTATAAAAATAATTTGGCGAAAATGTACACGAATTTTTAAACTTGGTGTCTCTTTGCATGTAACTCTCTTAACCTTTCAAACTTTATCTCCCTAAATTTTCATTGTATGAACCTCTTATTGATACTATTATCTCATTGAATGAAAATGACATCTCATTTTGGGTGTGTTTGGTTTGAAGGGAGGTATTTTAATGGAGAAAGAGAAGAGGTTTGATGTTACTTTATTTAGTTTAGGAGAAGAGGAGAATAAAAATAATTATATATGAATAATTTCACTCTCGTTTTATTAGTATTGAGATATTAAAAAGTGTATCTGTATCTTTTAAATTTACTATGTAAGACATATTGATTAAGATCTGACAAAATTTATCCCTTCCCTCCCAAACCCCTCCAATTTTGGAGGGGAGGTCCCCTCTAATTTTTTAAACCAAATAAGGGGAGGAAAAAAAATTTCTCCCTTCTAACCAAACACTCGCTTTATGTAATATTAATCTTCATCGGTTAATATATTCAATGGATCAAATTTAAAAACTTAATTTCAGTAAAAAATGTAAGAGCTTGATTAAAAGAAGGACATAATTCAAAATGAAAGAAAATGACAAGGATATGCAAATTATTTTTTTACTTATTGTATTGTTTTTGCAAGTGCAAAAGCCTGAATACAATTTTTTTTTTTTGGAAAATCATTCTAAGGTCCATGGAAGCATTCAAAATACGCTAAAGTTCCATCAATTCATCAAATAGCTGCCAGATCCCTAGAAACTTAATGGTGAATAAGTTTAAAAATAAAATTATTGATTTGTCCCTCTACCATTAAAAAAAAAATTTTGCTTGAATGCATATCTCACAAAACCCATAATCAGTGAAACTGAAAATTGATGCATATCCATGATTGTTGATTACGGTAGGATAATTTTGAACTTCCACATATTTATGATTACCATCCTTGTCTTTATCTAAGCGAGGTGGGAGTGTTCATCTTCAACTGCAATATTTTATCGATAGAAAACAATAGTGATTGTTGAGCAAGTAAACAATTTCTTATGCATTAATGATTTCATTATTGTTTAAGGGTAGGATAATGCTTTCTGGGTATACCTACGATCATTTGATTTGCATAGCTAATGGGCATGGATTTATCTGGTGTAACATTGATATGTTGAAAAGTATCTGATACGAATAACTCTATATGTTGTCAATGGTGTATTCTTGTGTTGTCAATATGCTATGGATAGTTGTCAATACACTGTATTATGCAAGATGACTTGTAACAATGCTTATACTACCGTAAATCATATATTATGTTATGTTTTTTTTTTCATATAAGAACATTTTATATATTATTCTCAAGCATGTAATGTAAGCTTGTTTGTTAAAAAATCTCTATTGTACCTTATAAGACTGAATTGTGGTGCAGGATGACCTTTATAGGAAGAAGATAGAATTCTTGTGGTGGCTATTAAGTCATTATAACAATGTGAAGGAGCACGAAGCCATGCCCTTGTTAGACAGATCCCAAGAAAGGAAGAAGAGGAAATAGAAGATTATTGATAGAACTTTATGATATAACTTTATTAATAATTATGTCCTTTTATATAGTTAGCCCATTTCGTATAGTTACATCTTAGACAATGTTATTATGAATGGTGATTACAAGTTTGTAAATGTCGTAAATAGTTTGTTTTATTAATTAAATATTGACAAGTGGCCAACTATGATTGACAAGTAGTTTTCACTTTATTAATAAGCTATGCATTCGCTATTGACTAGTGCTAATACATTAAACGCTGTTATTCCTTTTAAAAATCAATAAACTACAAGAACGTGTTGATTACTTGTTGTTGGCAATTGATAAGTGATTATCACTATATTGACAAGTTATGCATTCATCATTGACAAGTGCTAATACATTAGGTGCTATTATTCCCTTTAAAAATCAACAAGTTACAAGAACTATTGATTATTTGCTGTTGGCAATTGAAAAGTGGTTATCACTATATTGACAAGTTATGCATTCACTATTGACAAGTGCTGATGTAAGTATTATTATTTCCTTTAAAAATCAACTAGTTATAAGAATTTGTTGACTACTTGCCATTGGCTATTGACTGCAAGTTATCACTATATTGACAAGCTATGCAATCGTCATTAACAAGTGTTAATACGTTAGGTGCTGTTATTTCCTTTAAAAATTAACCAGTTAAAAAAAACTTGTTGACTATTTGTCATTGGCCATAAACTATAGGTTATCATTATATTAATAAGCTATGCATTTTTCATTGATAAGTGCTGATACATTAAGTGCAATGATTCCCTTTAAAAATCAACTAGTTACAAGAACTGATTGACTACTTGCCATTGGCCATTAACTATAAGTTATCACTTCATTGACAGGCTATGCATTCTTCATTAACGATGCTGATACATTAGGTGCAATAAACAAAAAATAAATTCTAGATATATAAATAAAAAAGTACACTTGTCTCTGATATTTTTTAGCATGGATTAGGATTTTTGCGAGTCTTGGAGGTATGACCAGTCTCATGGCATTTTGCCTAATGATAAACCCTTTTATTTTAGATTTGAGATTCTCTTCTTTTACGCTTTGGCCTACCTGAAGGCCTTATAGTCATTGTAGCTTCAAGCAGGTTTAGGTTAATAAATTTATCACCGTCACATGGATAGTCATGTGTGGCTACCAGCCTTATATTACTGGCATGTATCTTCTGTTGAGTGATAACTTGTACATTCATTCACTTGTACACATTGTCATAAACTAGCTTGATTGCTGCACATGCATGTGCACAAGGTATTTTACTCATTTGCCATGCTAAACAAGAGCATGTATGTGCTACTCATTTGATGATATCATTCTTGTTAACTCTTCATACGCTGTCCATTCGTTTATTGTTCTTGTTCTAACACTCCTCCCAACATATTGTATATTTTTTTGGTCATAATTTTGAAAATGTTCCCTATATGAAAAAAATATAATACATGTTCTCCAGAAGAACTTGCCATCTTACAGGTCAACCTACCCCACACACAATGGATTGACAACTACACACAGCATAATGACAACACATTTATCCACTACTTGACAAGATGTAGTGTTGTTTCATAATAGAGATTTTTTTAACAAAATAAGCTTGCGTCACATGCTTGAGAATAATATGTAAAATGTCCCTTATATGAAAAAAAATAACATAATACATGTTTTTATGGTAGTATAAGAATTCTTACAAGTCATTCTGCACAATACAGTGTATCGACAATTATTCATAGTATATTGACAACATAAGAATACACTATTGATAATATGTAGAGTTATTCGTATAAGATATTTTTTTAACATATCAATGTCGCACCAGATAAATCTATACCCATTAGCTATGCAAATCAAATGATCACAGGTATACCCAAAAGCATTATCCTACCCTTAAACAATAATGAAATTATTAATGCATAAGAAATTGTTTACTCGCTCAACAATCACTGTATTGTTTTCCATCAATGAAATACTGCAGTCGCAGATGAACACTCCCACCTCGTTTAGATGAAAACAAGGGCGGTAATTATAGATATGAGGAAATAAAAATTACCCTATCATGATCAACAATCATGGACATGCATCAATCTTTAGTATCACTGATCATGGGTTTCGTGAGATGTGCGTTTAAGCAAAATTTTCTTTTTAATGGTAAAGGGACAAATTAGTAATTTCATTTTCAAACTTATTTACCCTTAAGTCTCTGGGAATCTGGCAGCTATTTAATGAATTCATGGGACTTCAACGTATTTTGAATGCTTTCATGAGACCTTAGAATAACTTTCCCCCTTTTTTTTTGCAAGATTAATTTTTTTTTCTAAATATACAAATATTTTAAGTATATATTCATGAAAAAATATATTTACATTTGAAACTTTTTGAGTTCGTATAAATAATTTAAAATATAAATAATTATATTAAAGTATCAATAAAAAATTAATTATATTAATACTTTAATTTAGTTATTAATAAATTTTATAATAATTAATTTTTTTAAAAGATTTGGATGTAATTCTCTTTTTTAAATATGTTGAGTCTTGCATTATTATTATTATTATTTTCATTTTAAGGATATTAGGTGCAATTCTCCTAAAAAATATGACCTCCTCATTTTATTATTATTATTATTTTTTAAAAAAGTTTAACCATAAATAACCAGATTGGGGTGGAAACACTATACTCCTGTAGAAGAACTACAGGGCTCCACCGGACCACTTTTACACGAAGTGAACATGAAGATTTCGCGGCGACTGGTGGGATAAAGTGTAAGCAAGTAGATGAGAGATAGAGGTGCAGAATACTTTAGCGGCTAAACATGAATTCTCAATTTCCCTATACTGTTGATATTCTTCACTCCGCAAGGCCCCTATCCAGCTCTAAAACCCTCTTAGACCATTACCCACCATCTTTACCTCGATTTTCTTATGTAAAACGCGTTCTGAGAACCAAATTACGGTATAATAAGCCTTGCACCAGTCACAGGACAATTAGAATAAGTGCCTACAAAGCTTCGGATTCAACTTCCAGTTCACTTACTGGAACCCAGAATGAGGAAGAAGATGCTGAGTCTCTTAAGCTGTTCGAGGTTGGTTTTTTTTTTTTTTTTAAACTCCCCTTATCACTTTCTCTGTTTAGCTGCGTTTGATGGAAGCAATGGAAAAAAAATTGAAGAGCGCAACATAGTTCTGAAGAATGAAAACTTGGTTGCCTGTTCATGCAGAGTCTCGTGTCCTGGTATTTTGTCGATAACTAAACTACTGCGAAACTGTAAGCCACATTGATGAAGTTTCGCTGCTGAATTTGACATTCGGAAGAAAATAGTCTTTCTTTTAGTAGATACACTGGCAATTTAAAATGAGGACCTTTACGAATTTTCTACTGGAATGTCAGAAATGGGGTATCTGTAAAACGAAGGGAGTTGGATTTCTGACTGACTCCGCATCTGGCATTAGTGTCTTGCTGTTTTTTTTTTTTTTTTTTGGTTCTTTTGTTTTTCTCCTTTATGCCTGTCATTGATCCCTAACAAAGTTGAACTCCTTTCCTTTTTTCTGTTTTCGTGTGTTTTCGGGCGGGGTGTGGATTCTTAGTTTGGACTTTTCAGATCATTTAAAGTATGGCAGGACTGAGCGGGAGAAGTTTTGACTCCCGTATGTAATATTGGTCTTGGTATGGAACAAGTGATTATGAATTTTTCATTTTTAACGGAAATCTTGGAGTTCTCCTTCGTATGAGAAGAAGTGGTGGTTAGAACTTTCAAATATAGGATTTATCACTTTGAGAGCGTTTGGTGCTAAGGGGTGGCCACATTTGGCACGCTTTTGAGAAAGCAATTACATTGGAGACTTGTAGGAAACATTTTGGTTTTCAGTTTCCCATTTTGCCATTGCATCTTAGAGGTCCAACTTTATCTTATTTGGCGCAATTTGTTGGACATTGTTACATGTTCACGTGATGATGATGGTATCACATTTTGAACTTCTAAAATACTGAGAATAATATAACTATGATATCTTTCAGAAACTGAAGGAGGCTGAAAGGAAACGAATAAGTGACTTAGAAGAATTTGAGAACAAGGCTAATGTGCAGTTAGAGAGGCAACTTGTCATGGCTTCATCTTGGAGCAGAGCTTTATTGACTATGCGTGGCAAACTAAAGGGTACAGAGTGGGACCCAGAGAACTCACACAGGATAGACTTCAGTGATTTTCTGAGACTACTTGATTCAAATAATGTCCAGTTTATCGAGTACTCAAATTATGGTCAAAGTATATCAGGTGGATTTTTATTTTTTCAGGATTATTATGCTGATACAAAACCTGTTGGCTAATTAAGTTACTGAACACTGATTTCTTACAAGTTTTGTTTGGTAATTACACATGAGGCTGTCGCTGACTTTAAATGTTAACAAGAAAATTTATTAGAACAAATTATAGTTCATACCATCTCTGTAGTAAGGTTCATCGACATATGATAGCTCTATGTAAACATCATGTTATAACATTACGTACTAAATAAATATTGAACGTTTGATTCAGTACATTGCATGGTTGATCAAATCATTGCCATATTCCAGACTATTTTGCATCATGCATTTGCATCTATTTAAGTAAATCTATATATTTTTGTTGCAAACTAAGGCTATGTTTGGAGGTTTTGGAGAGGAGGGGATGGAATGGTAAGGGAAGGGATGAAGTGAGAAAAGATGAACACTCTGCACTCCTGACCTATTTTGCAGTATAAAAAAATGGACAAGGCCTAACAGTGGCTCTATAACTTATGAACTCCAGAATTGGCATTATGCTCCAAGTCTATCTCAATGTTCAATTTGCTCTTGGTGGCCGTGGTGGCAAGGAAAAGGCTATGATCAAGTGTGAATGCCTTTGTTAGTTATTGCTTGTAACTGTGTGTGGATGTGCACAAGTTTTGTGCTTTTTTTTTTTTTTTTTCAATCTCAAGAAGGAGGAGTAAGAGCAGGAAAAAGAGAAAATGTAATTCCTTTGATCATTTGTAATTGATTTGCATTTGTAAATTGCAATGCATTCACCCTATCTAATAATAATTTATTGATTTTTAAGGTTATGGGTTTTTCCCTTAATAAAGATTATGGAAAATTTTGAAACAGTCCGTTTAAATGTTTTTAACTTTCTATGTTTAAAGCTTCCATTATGTGTTAGTTCCCAAATGCCATTGCAGTCATTTGACATTCTGTTCTTTGTCTAAGAGTAGTCTGAGGCTGAAGCCTTCAATTTTGGGACCTCTATATTCATATATTATTCTTTATTATACTCCTTAATAGGAGAATAATTAACTACTGCTATGTTGCACGGAGTTCTTTAATGATACTAAATGTGTTAGTAGAACGCTTACTGTTCTTCCATCTTTGCTGCTCTGTACAACCTCATGTTGAATATTTATTGACTCAATTATGCAGTGATTCTACCATATTATAAGAATGGACAGTCATCAGGAACTGAAGGGAATCCTAAGGATATTGTGTTTCGGCGCCATGTAGTTGACCGGATGCCGATAGATTGCTGGAATGATGTTTGGAGAAAGCTGCATCAACAAGTTGTTAATGTTGATGTCATTAACGTGGATGCAGTACCTGCAGAAGTATATTCAACCATTGCAACTGCAGTTATATGGTCTATGCGGCTTGCCCTAGCTGTTGGTTTTTATGTATGGATTGATAATTTGATGAGACCAATTTATGCAAAGTTGATACCTTGTGATTTGGGAAAACCTAGTCCACAAGCTAGGCAGCCACTTGAACTTCGTACACTTGGATCACTAGGCAAGAGCCGGTGAGTGGAGAATTTTTCTTTTTCCATTTATCTGTTCCACTTTTTTGCTGGAGCTTGACTTCTGTTGCATATGGCAAGGTTTTAGCTTTTTACTGTGTCTATTGTTCTACTTGTTTTTACTTGTAGTTATGAGGATGCGTCCTATTATGTGCTTTTATTACACAGCTTATGCTTTTTTATAGGTAGTTCTTTAATATGATCAATTCATGATTTAGACAAAAAAAAGTTGTTCTGCATTTTTGAGAGGCAATATAACCTTTTAGGGAATGCTGTTCATTTTCTTTTGGTTATAGTTGAAGAGGGGTGGCCATTTCTCAGCCTGCTGCTGATTATTTACTTTGGAAACTTATTCTGAACTCAATATACTTTTTTCTCAGTCCATGTCCAGAAGTCAGATCAGTCTGCAGAATGGTGCTATTTACTGTTGACATCCTGAATACTAAGCAACTAAAGTCACTGTTATGAACTTAACCCGTGGGCCTGCTTAGCCTCACGATATAGTAAAAAATAATCTGGAGCTATAGCCGCTTTCCGCTATGTCTTTAAAGGGTTTCAATTGTGCTGCTTAGTGCTTACAAATATTTTGATATTCACTTGTTTGCATAATCATAGTGAGCAATACACTTTGGCTCCCTATCTTGGATTTGCCTAATCATTTTGTTGTTTATTGTATTTCTTTTTCTTCATGTATTTAGAGTTTTGTTGATGCTACTTTGGTTAGACAGTTCAACATTTTCGCAAATTTTCAAGTCATATGAACTATGGTGTTCAAATGACAGGTTCATGATAACTGATGATGTGTTGAAAGTAGTTCGAGAGTCTAAGTGCAGTGTGTAATTTTCAGTGCAGACATAACAAAGCTCTTTATCTAGATCTGATTTTTTTTTTTTTTTTTTGCTTTCCCTCAGGGCTAAATTTATATCTGCAGAAGAAAGAACTGGTGTTACATTTGATGATTTTGCTGGCCAGGAATATATAAAGAGGGAACTACAAGAGATTGTCCGAATTTTAAAGAATGAAGAGGAGTTTCAAGACAAAGGAATTTATTGTCCAAAAGGCGTGCTTCTCCATGGGCCTCCGGGAACTGGAAAAACATTGCTGGCTAAGGCCATCGCTGGTGAAGCAGGGCTGCCTTTTTTTGCAGCAAATGGCACTGATTTTGTAGAGGTTTTGCCTATTCTCTGATTTTATTCAGTAAATTGAATGGAAATTTACAAGAAAGAGAATTTGGTTTCATCACAGAAAATAATGGAGAATTTGGAACTCAAGTTAGTGTTCTTTGTTGAAAGTTCAAATCCCAAATCGTGAAATCTTCTATAGGACAGGGATGGAGATTTTGTACAACCTGGTTGAGTGGCAATTTCAATAACTAGATGTGGGTCCGCTTACTGTATGGAGTGTGCGAAATAAGCTGTATTGTTTATGGCTAAACTTCCTAGAGATTATATATATATTGATATCGATGATTAGTAATCAACTGGTGTTTCACTGCCTAATAGCTAGTCCTTCTTATAAAACACAGACAAGTTTGACATAGATAAAAGTATGATAACTTGTTTTATGTGTCTTTTATCCTCACATTGTTCTTTAATCATGGCAAATATTCCTTGTCATATCAGTTGTTTTTGTCTTAATAATTTCATGTTAGACTGCAGCTGGTTAGATAAACTTTTTCTCCTCTCAGATGTTTGTAGGGGTTGCTGCATCACGTGTTAAAGACCTTTTTAGCAATGCCAGATCATATGCACCTTCTATCATTTTTATAGATGAGATAGATGCTATTGGTAGCAAGCGAGGAGGACCAGATATTGGTGGAGTAAGATAATCAAGAAACTTTTCATCCTACAGCTATGGATGTATAGAATGGCAATGACGTTATTTATTCAACATTTATGTTCTAGAGAATTTTTGGAGTTAGTTTGAAATTATTTCATTGCATTACATTTATGGTATTATAAAATTTTCCTGAGACTCAAATTATTCTACAGAGCTAATTTAGTTCTTAAATTTTTATGCATCCACAGTTAAATGCACAAGCACACAGATTCAGATTTATTGGGCCTACAGTAACATTTAAAAGTTGATACTCAACTTAGCTTAAAATAATTATACTTTTATCCAACCGTTTGGGATGAGTACTGAATTTGGTGAATGTGTATGCACAAGATGTGATAAAGTTTGTAGTGGCATAAATCTGATGCTGTCATTCTTCATCACTATAGTGTCAGCCATGTGTTAGGATAGGATATAAGGTAATATTCTGCTGAAGCCAGACATATCAAATTTCTTGAGCTGTTTTCTTCCAAACACTAAATATAACTGCTTTATATGTGCGCATGCGCGGGTGTTCTGATCAACCCACAGGGGACTTATGCCTTAAGTTCTGTGATTGCAAGAGCAAGATGAACCCAAATGAATAGCTACAGCATAATACAAGGCAATGGAGGGCCTTTATCATATTGTTTTTTAGTTGTTTGGTTAGGGAAACTTAGGGCCTGTTTGTTTTTTGTTTTTTGTTTTTAAAAGCTGTTTTTTGTTTTTGAAAACAGAAAAATTTAAAAACTTGTTTAGATAAGTGTTTTTCATTTAATTGTTTCCAATTTTTTTTTTCATTTTTTGTTTTTAAAAACGAAAAAATAGAAACAATTTCAAGTTGTTTCTGTTTTATTTTTCTTATTTTTAAAATACACTACATTTGATTAGTGGAAATTATAGTTACCGGGATCAATTTCTATAATTAATCACCACCATTAACTGCATATAATTATTACTATCAATTCATTTTTTAATTGACATAACCAAATGGATTTTCATTTTATTTTGTTTTGAAAAACAATTTTAAAAACTATATTACAAAACAATTTTTAAAAACAGAGAATGAGAATAGAAACCGAACAGGCCCTTAGACACTGTTCCATGTGTGGAATTGGAGCCTGATCATAACTATAATAATTACAAGAAGCCATGCTCTCAAATACTTTTGGTCAGTGTGTGAAATAAAAAATGGCAACTCCTTTGAATGATCAATGGGAGAGAACAATAAAAAAAATTGCATTTATTAATAATATTTTCATGTTTATGGTACTATGGGTTTTAAAGATATAGTGTTAGAAAAGGTATCAGGCATGGTGATTGCATGATGATTTTATGGGGGGTTGATTCTTAACCAGTTGTTATTTAAGTATTTTGCTTCTTCTTTGGCTATATTGATGACAGAAAATCATTTAATTGTATTCACTGCCAAGTCTGTACTTTGTTTTGCCTATGTTAAGTTCTGCTTTCCTTCTATTGCTTCATTGTGCTCCCTTGTTCCCTCCTAATGAAACCTGTGTTTGCAATTGTTATGTAGGGCGGGGCTGAAAGGGAACAAGGCTTACTTCAAATACTGACTGAGATGGATGGATTTAAAGTTTCTACAGAACAGGTATGCTTCTAATAGTTTCCTGTATCATAAGGAAGTTATTGTCTGATTCACTAAACTTGAGTTTCAGGTGCTTGTAATTGGTGCAACAAATAGATTGGATATTCTTGATCCTGCTCTTCTGAGGAAGGGTCGTTTTGATAAGATTATCAGAGTTGGTTTACCGTCAAAAGATGGAAGATTGGCCATTTTAAAGGTTTTTCTGGGGCAAGATCTTTATATGCATTTCACTGGCTTTCTTTAAGTTGTTGTTCGTTGATTTTTCTTTTATGGGTTTTAGGTGCATGCCAGAAATAAATTTTTCCGTTCAGAGGATGAAAAGGAGATGCTACTAAAAGAAATTGCTGAGCTCACTGAAGATTTTACTGGGGCAGAGCTGCAAAATATACTGTAACTAATTCTTGATTGTCATTGGTACTGCTGTGTCAATTTTACATGTGGACTGATTTATCATGAGTTAAATGACAGGAATGAAGCTGGAATTTTGACAGCCAGGAAGGATTTGGATTACATTGGACGGGATGAACTAGTTGAGGCATTGAAAAGGGTTGGTGGTTTACCCCACTTTTTTTTTTTTGGGGGGGGGGGACTAAATGGGCAATTATTTTTCCTGTTGTGTGTTTGATACATTATATTTTAAATTTTTCATGCAATTTCATGTCCCTCTGAATGATCTTATGGATTTACAGCAAAAGGGAACATTTGAAACTGGGCAAGAGGATAGTGCTGAAGTTCCTGAAGAATTGAGACTGAGATTGGCTTACAGAGAAGCAGCTGTTGCTGTTCTTGCTTGTTGCTTTCCTGAACCGCACCGCCCTTTCGTTGAGGTTGAGGCTGAGATATTTCCTTTTGTCTTGTTTTGCAAGTTCATTGTATTCTAGAAATGTTGATTCACTACTGTGTTTATGGTTTACAGACCAACATAAATTCCATCAGCAGCCAACCAAATATGCAGTATGCTGAAGCTTCTGGAAAGGTTTTTGCCAGGAAATCAGATTACATAAATTCTATAGTGCGTGCTTGTGCTCGTAAGTTGCTATGCACTTCTGATTTATTCTCTTGTAGATGTTGTTTCTTCAAACAGTTCGAGATTCTTTTCACTGGATGGTCATTTTCTTAGTCCTGTTGACAGAATAAGTTGTTTTGGTTTGAATTGTGATAGTGATGAAGGCAAAGGTAATATGAGACGCTTAAGTCCTGCATTGACTAGTATGAGATGCTTTATATAGTACTTAAATTGATTGATTCTCCCGCTTTAATATCTAATTTTTGAGGGAGGTTCTCCCTCCCACTTGGGCAATAATCAATTGGTATTAGAACTAGTGTTCAGTGTCTCTCATAAGGGCTACCTGCATAGGATTCTAACTGGTGGAGGGTTCTGATGGATGAGGATGTTGAGTGAAGTGTTACTAATTAAAGTGTATAGAATGTAACCATTGGGACGCTGACTCTCTAGTGGGGCCAATGATCAATTAAAGTAGTATGAGACGTCTAAGTTCTTCATTGAGTAGTATGGGATTCTATGGTTTATTTTAGTGAACTAGTTCTCCTAGCATTATGTAAAGCCTTTTGCTTAATGTGGGAGTCTTTGAAGTTGTCATCTGCCACACTATGGTTTGCAAAAATCATCTTATGAAGTCAGTTCCTTGTAGATTTCTTATAGAACTGATCTATTTTATTTTGTTAAGTTATATAATTGGGAAGTCTTTTAAAGCCAGGAGAAAAGGGATTTATGAGATTTCAGAAAGAAGTGCTTGGATGATACGAAACTTAAAGTTATTTGGGAGAATGATTTAAGCAACACTCTTTCAGTAGGAAAAGTTTTGTTAAGGATCAGGTTCCAACACCTGAGATTCTGATGTTGGATGAAGTTTCTTGTTATAGATGCCAATGCAGACAGTTCTATATTGTTTTTGTAATATATTGCTCTTGAAAGCTTTTGTGAGAAATTAGGAACTAAAATCTGTTCTGCCGTTTGATTGTTGGCTAATTTTCTCTGATCTTTTGTGTGCACTTTCCCCGTTTTTTTTTTCTGTTTTATTTTTTTAATAATTTGTAGCAAGAGTAATCGAGGAGGAGATGTTTGGGATTGACAACTTGTGCTGGATCTCTACAAATGCAACATTAAAAGCTTCAAGGCTTGCTGAATTTTTAATTCTGCAGACAGGAATGACAGCATTTGGGAAAGCATTCTACAGATATGAAAGTGATATGGTGCCTAACGTATGTGTAGGGTCCAACTGTAAGAGCTACTTTTACAGTGTTTTCTGTCACTTTACAGAAGTGTTTTAAAATTACAATTCTAGCATGACTTATGTTAAAGCATTTACCACAGCTAGCAATGAAGCTTGAAGCACTCCGAGATGAGTATATGCGTTATGCTGTGGAGAAGTGTTCATCGGTGTTGCGAGAATATCATTCAGCTGTTGAGACAATCACAGGTCTCATTCTGTGTTTATTTGTCCATTAGCAAGATGGGCTTTATCTTTCAGCAGCTTCTTCATTTATTTCACATTAAAACAATTAGGTTTACTACAAAGTGGATTAGCAGGTTTTGGTTAAGTTTAATTTAAAAAGTTCATAAAAACTGAGAGGATTGTTCCACCCTCACCATTTTGCAGATATATTGCTTGAAAAGGGACAAATTAATGCTGATGAAATCTGGGAAATTTATAGGAGAGCTCCTCGTGAAGCTCAGGTACAGGTTTAACTTCAGTGGGATATTATTGTCCTGTTCTTTTGATTGCCTACTATCTTCAATGTTCTATTTATGACGTCAATCTCTTGCTTTCTTTCTTGCATAGCCTAATGTAAGTCCAATCGATGAATATGGAGCACTGATTTATGCTGGACGATGGGGAATCCATGGAATCTCTCTTCCAGGGAGGGTTACATTTGCACCAGGCAATGTTGGGTTTTCAACCTTTGGTGCACCCCGCCCGATGGAGGTGCATGCAAAAGCATGTTCTTCTAGTTTTATAAGTTGCCTTATCTTCTCATTTAGCTGACAAACACTCTTCTCTATTTCCTGTTTCCGCCTTTTTACTGCAGACCCAAATTGTCAGTGATGAAACTTGGAAACTGGTGGATGACATCTGGGACAAGAGGGTACAAGAAATTAAAGAGGAAGCTTCGAAGGAGGTTCAGGAAGATGAAGAAAAACCACAACTTTTGTTGGCAAGCCATTTCCTTTGAAAGAAAATTATGTCTCCTGCGGCTTCAGGTTCATGGGCATCATATCGCATCTCAGTTTTGATAATCTTTTATTTGTTGTCTTTGTTGTTCGGTTCTCTTGTCGTGGAAGTATCAGAATAAGGTGACAGCTAACAGCCGAAAAGGAAAAAAATACAGAAAAGAGAATAAGTTGACAATTATAAACACATTATTGTAACTTCAGTGGCTGTGGGCATCTGCCATCAGATGGGGAAAAGAATCTGGGCACCATTAAACAAGTCAGAGAAGTAGCAGTGATTCACCCCTCCCCATCTCCTCTCTTGCGTAATTTTCTGTGCACATTTAATTTGGGAGAAAATTCCACTTAAGGACCCATTTGAAGTAATAATTACTTGAGAGGATTTTGAAATTCTTAATTGCTTTTGAAGATCAAAGTTATCCTTTGTGCTTTCCCAATTCCAAAGTTTCTGGAAGTCAGACTTTTCCGTGTCATTAAAAAAGTATAAAAATATGTAATTTTAGGGAGTATCAGTGGTAATTTTGAGAAGCACCAATGATATATGACAATTATGATCATTTAAAGGAATTTTGAATCTTTTAGATTAATTATTATTCTTACGGGTCCTTGATTGAAAACTTCCTTTTTATTAAAATAAAGTCTGCTTATAGGAAGCTATGATATGAGAAAGTTTTCCTTTTTAATTATTAGGTTGGAAAGACATAAATATCTCAACTTGTAATGCATATTATTTATCCTCTCTATCACATGATAATACTCATCAGTTTGCTTGCTTTGTGCGCAGCATTTTGAACTCGTTCAAAAAAGACTTGCTCAAGAGGGAACTAGAACTAGGTCCATAGTAGTTGCAGAGTTTCATTAAATTCAAACGGAGAGACTACTGACACTGAGGCACAAATGAGGCACTGGGGTGTTCAGTTTGAGCTCCAACGAAGTGCAAGTCTCTGAATGAAAGGGTTGTAGCCACTAAAATACTTCTGTTGAACTTCAGCTTCAGAAATCTAAATGTATCACAGGGATGCGTCATTGTGGGTATACTGTAAACTTGAAGTCATCCTTGCTGAGTTGCTGTACAGCAGAGAATTGCATGTATCCCCAACAAAATCATCAGAGTAACTCTACAGGAATAATTTGTTTTGATTATAAATGTATGTTGCGTTAACATTATATCCAAAGTCTTAGTTGTTGATAGAGTACAAGAACATCATGTAATCAATATAGCTATATAGCCGATTCCATATGGTAGGAGAACACTTGTTGTTCTTAGTCTTTTATAGGAAGTTTTTCAAGGAATCCCATTTTTTGTAAAACTGATTTCTGTTTTATACTCCTTGAGTGTGGCAGGGTTCTTATATCATTTTTTGGGTGTAGGAAGAAAATTTGGATATTCTTTACAGAGTGATTATGCTAATTGGATTGTGTTGTGACTTCCATAATTCATTTATTTATCGGTTGAATGGCACAAAAAATATATATATATATATATATAATTCTGACAAGTTTCAGAGCACCCAAGCTCTCCCTTTGGGTGGTAGCTTGCATTTACAGATTCTCATCTTCTAGCAGCCACCTCCTCCGATGCATGATGCGCGTGATGTGTTACAAATCTCATATGGCTCACAAGTGATATTTATAGGTTCAAGGGATTTTTTCACCCAACATATTAGTCTTTTAGGATGAATTTTTCATTTGGACTTATATTCTAAGCATTGGTAATTTCATTGAGGTTGATGTCATGGGGAGAGATATGTGCGGAGGATTCAGACCGGTAAGAAGTTAAGTAAATGATGTGGCGGCTCTCAAATGGGGGGTGCATTGTTATGAATCTTTTATAGAGAAATTTTTCAGAAAAAGTAAAATTTACAAGTTCAAAGAGTTTTTCCTCCTAAGCTGTCGCTGGAATTGTAAAATCTGCCATTAATTCAAGACATTTTGAGACAAATGGCTTTAACGGCTGTGTTAAGCAAGGATACGCGGGTAAATAAAATCTATAAAGGACCCAATAATTGATGAATTTCAGCTCGTGAAGACGGGAACTTTTGAAAAGTGAACAGACATTTGATTAAGATTCTGAAATGCAGTTAATTCAATAGCGACCCGTGACTCTTGTTCTGTCTGTTTCCTATCTGACAAACAACGCCTCATGAGTAGTAGCTTGCTACCCTCCAAGTAAGCACCTTCCACAGTCACTAAATACAATCACTAAACAACACTCACTTTCTCATTAAATTGTACACAAATTAGGTACACACATGTAATCATAGAGATGTGATTTCTCCCCTTAACCTGAATTCAACATCTACTTACTAAAACCATGTTGTGGTGGAAGCATTTTGCTGGTTGGGAAGCATGAAACCAATACACCCCACGTAGTTTAAAACCACTGTTTTAAGAATAGATTGGACCGTCAACCAAGGCTATTAATAGCTTGGTTTAGATAAAAGACCATTTTTATGGTTGAGTTGAATTAGATTAGAGTTGAGCTGTTATTAAGTTAGAAATTAAAATTGAATTGAAAATTTGAACGGTTTTTAAAAAATCAAATGAGTTTAAATATAATATAAAAAAGGCTAAAAATGTTTAAAACTCAGTCAAATTCAAAACTTATATCCTTCTACTAAAAGCCAACTTTATTTTTAAACTTTTTACATATTTATGATATGATTTGGGATCACATTCTCAAGAAGATGTTGACAATTATAGACATAAATGCAAATGTTTTTCGGCCTACTCATAATTTAAAAAGATTTACCTATATTTAATAAGTTATAAAATTATAATTTACTCCCTCTGAACTATAATATAGGACATCTTCTAAAAATTTTATTTGATTCAAAATATAGGGTATTAAGTAGCTTTATAATTGATTTTTTAACTATACCTTTACTTCATTTATTACTTTTTTTAAAAAAAATGATGCATTGAATTTTAATTGTCATTATCAAGGCACTTATATAAAATATTTAATGAGGGTATAATTGAAATGATATAATTTTTTAAAAAAAATTTAGGTTTCAATTTATGTTTTTTTTAGAATCATGAATTAGTTACTAATGTCCTTTATTGAGGTATGGAGGGAGCATAATATTGTTGATTTATGGTCATGTGTTATTTTATTAACAATTAAACATACTATGAATTTTTATTTCTTATATATATATATATAATGTATTTAATATTATTTTTCATTTAATTATTAGGTTAGTGATTCTATCTCTAGTCTGACCAATTATACCATAAAAATAAGACCCAATGATTTTTTCAATTTAACATTCAATCCGGCTTTTAAACATATTCAAGTTTTTGAATAATAATGATGATTAGTGTTGGTGATTTTTGTCTTGGCGAAGGTGGTAAAGAATAAATATATTGATGAAGTTGAAATAGTTACTCCTTTCGTTTTTATATATAAAGGGAAAAAACTGAATCACACATTTTAAAAAAAATTGATTAATCATAATAATTATATTTGAAAATAAAAAAATGAACTAAAATACCTTACATTAATTAAGATAACCATACATTAATTGTTTTTCATTGTAAATTTGGATGGTGATTATTAAGGAAACATGTAATAAATGTTTATTGAAATAAATAATTTTGTTTATCAAAAAATATAAATTAAAAGTAATAGTTTCTTTAATAATAAAAAATAGAAGGAATATTTATGTATGATTTTATCTTGAACGTGGAATGTTATTGGAACATTACATGTTTATATTGTTGACGAAACTCAAAGTGTATTTTGTCGTTTCTTTTTGAATGTATTTTGAGGATGAATCATATTCGATTCATATTAGCTTTTGAGTTAATGGACGTTAATACACTTGTGAATGTTGTATTCAAGATCCCAACCCAGTTAATCAAATAGATTTAAAGGGTCAACCTATTTAATTTTTGTCTCGTGTGTGTTCACATGAGTCAAGCTGAAATCGTGTCATTTCATTTCATTTCTTTTTTTTTTTTTAATGAGTGTCATGTTCATCTCTATTTTTCAGTATGTTCAACCATCCCAATTTAAAGCTTACAGTTGGCATTTAAAATAATTTTCAGAAAATATAGTTTTTAATCATTGAACTTTCTTTCAATAATTGATTGAGATCTTAAATTTTGACTTAGAATAACTTAATTTTTATAGGTTATTGAGTAAAAAAATTATAATAATTGAATTGTTTAAATAAAAAAATATAAAGATTAAATTGTTTCAAGTCAAAAATTATAAAAACTAGGTTGTTTCAAATTAAGGAATTACAAGGAGTGGAAAAGTTAAGTATCTAAAAATTTCATTTTTTTAGTAATTTAATATTGGGAAAACAAAACTGTTAGTTCGTATGGTTTAACTTTTTTTAATATAGATTCCTATGTGTTTTTTTTTATTATTTTAAATCCGTTTAATTTTTTTGTCCGTAACGTTAATTTTTTTATTTTTAAATATGCTTAGAGAGACAATAATGTGACACTGACTATATTAAATATGCTAATCTATTACTAAATATATTAATAATTAAGTTGAAGTGTTAAAGTCTAAATAAAGTGATAATTTGTATTTGCAGTAATTTAAACAAGGACAACAAAAGAAAAAATAACAAATAATTATATTTTCCCAAATAACAAATAAGTTCTTCGGACTCAAACGTGACACGAACTTGGGGGAAGACTCGGTGACAGCGGCCAGGGTAGCAGAGATCACCAAACAAATAGATAGGATTAACATTGCATACAAAAAATAAAAAAAATAAAAAAACTTGAAACAGTGAAAAAAAATACAAAAACTCATATCAAAACACATTAAAATTATATAAACCAATAATTATATTTTCTTTTATATGCAGGAAAATGTACAAGTTGATCAATTTTTTGATAAAGCCAACAAATTTTCGAAAGTTATATTAGGTTATGCTAAGTCTCAACCAAGAAATCATATGTGTGTAAATATTTCCTGACAATATATCTTTCATCCACAATCCACTATACTTAAAATTTCACATTTCACTTTAGGAAAACACATTGAACAACTTGAATCATGTGCTGTAGTCATGCTCTTCAAATGCTGCTAAAAAAAGTTGTCACATGCCTTCTCGTTCTTAACCCCCCAAAAAAATATCCCATGACAATCCAAAAGCAACAAAATAAAAAATATTTATCCGAGACCCGAGTCAAGACAACGTAATTAGATCTTAAGGGGAAAAAGGAACCGTACAACTCTGCCCTCTTGGCTCCATCATTGCCTCAATTTTCCATACAGTAAGTACCTTCTCTTCCATCTCTTTCTTCTTCTTCTTCTTCTTCACTGCTTCCTCAACATCTCCTTCATCTCTCTCCCTCTCTCTGATGATGGCCTCTAAATTGTTTCCTCTGCTCTTCCTCTTCCTCTCTCACCTCCTTCAACCTCATTCATTTGTGAAAGCAGACACCAAACTGATCCGCAAAACCTGCAAGAACACAAAGTACTACGACCTCTGTTACTCTTCCCTGAAATCTGACCCCACAAGTCCAAACGCAGACCCAAAGGGTCTAGCTGTGATCATGGTTGAGATTGGAATGGCCAACGCAACTGCAACTTCGTCATACCTGTCGTCTAAGTTGGTAGGCCCTTCAAACGACACCATCTTGAACAGAGTCCTCAAAGAATGCTCAGACAAGTACAGTTATGCTGTTGATGCCCTTCGAGCTTCTGTGCAGGACCTGGCTAATGAAGAGTATGACTATGCTTATATGCGTGTCACTGCAGCTTCAGATTACCCCAATGTTTGTCACAATGCCTTTAAACGCTATCCCAATTTGGTCTATCCTCCAGAAATCTCTCGTAGAGAAAAGGGTTTGAAGCATATCTGTGATGTGGCTCTGGGGATTATTGATAATCTGAATTGGTATTAGCTCAATCAATGTCTTCTCTTCTCTCACTGTAATGCAGAACCATTATATCTTCGTGTTTAATCTTTCTGAATCTTGTCTGTCTTCTGATATAAGGTGTATTTAGCTAGCGTTTTCTCTCAATGCAAATTCATGCCTTTTCTGAACTTGGATCAAGACCTGATTGAAAGATGTCAAGCCTCTTTTTGTCAATCCAACTGCAGTTTGATCCATTTCTTGCATCATCGGTATTTGCATGATGCAAAACATATTTTAAAAAAGCTTGATTAGGGCCTACTTGTTTGGATTAATCTAGACAGTGCTATGAAAAGAAGATGAGGATTATGCGCGTTGATCTCCCACTAGTGGCTTTGTGAGTTGTGCAGATTAGTTGAGACTTGAGAGATTGATGGGTCCATGGATGTTACTGTTAGTCAAAATAAACAACTTTGGTCAAAAAAAAAAAAAAATTCTTTGTGATTGGTTCCTTCCCAGTACTGGACCATGATGAAATCCTTTTCCTTTTCATTTTTTGGTTGAAGATCTGTCGTTTTTCTCCTGAAAAAGATCTTTGAAATAATTGATCCTAGCTGTGACTCATCACCTCTTTTGAATTTGTCTATTTTTCTTCTTCGAAGTAGCCGATTTATATCCTTGTAAGGTTGGTGCAGGTATGCTAATCTCTCTTTTTCTCGGTTTTATCATCAAAGAGATGAGTAAAGGTGTGGTAAAATGGGGCCTGTGGTATGATTATTGAACTCTACCAGCCATTTGGTCAAAAAAAAAAAAAAAAAAAACTCTACCAGCCAGACTCCAATATCTTGTGCGTTCTTGGATTTCAAGGGCCGGGAGTGGGAATGAAGATTAATCATGAAATGGCTTGCTACTAGAAATAAATAACCTTTCTTTAACTATCACATGTTTGGTAAGGTACCAACTTAACTAAAATTCAAGCTTTGAGAATATAGCAACATTGGTGGTAGAGATTTCACCTGGAACGGTCTCATCCCCTGGCTCGAGCCAGTCTAATCAAGACCCCATTAAATTTCCCTCAGCACAACGCGGAACATATTGACATACCAGGTACTACGTGAAAAAATAAAATAAAATAAAAGAACATCTCATTCGATTGCGTCTGGAATGATGTGGGGATTAGTAAAACAGAGGACAAGTAGTGTAATGGTATAAAGGATAGTGTCCTACACGCCAATTCTTGGGCTTCACAATCAGAACTGACTGGAAAAGTAGCATTTGTTTTCAGAGATGAAGAATCAAACACGCGCCACACACACACAGAATTTGCAGATTAAAACTGAAAACCAACTGTAAAGTCCTTCTTTAAATGGCATAAACTGAAAAGGAGCTAGCTGCTTAAAGCTTCCTGGATCCGCCGGTAAAAAGAACCAATTCTAACACACACACAAGAATATTTTTACCAAAAGCTGGATCAGAATAAATCTTTAGATAACTTTCTTCAAGAGTGCTTACACAAAATAAAAAAATTCGTAGCATAGAGAGAGAGAGGTGGGAGGTAATACCATGTGAATTATGAATAATCCTACTAATTTCTCAGACTCTGTAATTACGATTGATATTGCCAAATTGACGCCTTTCTACTTCTTCCAAGCATTGTTTGGTCTCGGGTCCAATTAGGGAAATCCTTAGTGTGTTTTTGCATTTTCTTGGTTACTCAGAACCTCGAAACTCCTGCTCAAGCGCTCATACGCCATTTTTTATTTTTTTAATTATGGGTCTTGCTGAGATCCATGGTTGGGTTATGTCTTACTGCAAAAAGAGTTAAAGAAATATTTGGGCCTTCATCTTTCACTTTTATTTATCTTTTTCTTGGGCTTCTTTAAAAAGGCCTCATTTTCATGCAAGGCGAGATCTGAATTTAATACCTATTGCCAATATGACAGGCCCACAACTCCCGAAAGCTACAAAATAAACGAGATCATAACTCCCCCCCGCCTTAACTAACAGACTGGTCCAATCACAGCATATCGAATCAAGGTTTAAATCTCTATTAAAAAAGATATTTACATTTAATTTTTAATAATTTAATATTTAATAATATCTCAAACAAAATTATCTCCAATAAGATAATAACAGTGGGAAACCAAAAAAAAAAAAAACAAAGGTTAGCCCAAGGAAAGACTTAGCTAACAATCTATGAAGTTATAAGTTTAAAACTTATTACTGAATGTGAAAACTTTTTTAATGAATAATCTATAACTATTTTTATAAGTGTTTTTTGAATTTAAAGACATATCTCAACTCTGATAAGCTTTTGAATTCAACTTTAACTTTTCAGTATGTGTGTGTCTATATATATAACTTTTCTTTTGTAATATAATTTTTAAACAATAACCTAAGGTAATATTGTGTTAATATTCTCAGGAAAAGAATATGCCGCTGTCTAGATGAAATTTTTTCATATTCAGTGCATTTCCATTTGCAAAGTTATCACTTTTGTTTTACTAAAATGGTTAATCTTTTTTATTTCATAATTTAAAATTTATTTGTCTCAATTTCATTCCATAAATATTTATCGTGATCGTTTTTGTCTGTTCAGAAGATTGAATTAATAAGCTCTTACTATCGGGTAAATATTTTCATTTTAAGTTTCACACCTGTATGATAAAAGGTGGGTGAAATCTAATTATCTAATTAATAAGTTAATTCTATACGATTTTAATTTAAGATAGGGATGAAAACATGGTAAAAGAAAAGTGAAAGGAAGAACACGATTTAAAAATATTAACTGAATTTAATGAATAAAACAGAAAAATATTTTTAAAAATTTAATTGTTTTTAAAATTGTAGTTAATATGTATTTAATTGTAGTTAACTTTACAGTTTTCTCTGCACATTCTATTTCTGAGATAATAATATATTTTACCAAAATATATAAAATGGCACAGGCACCTGCAACCGGGAATGGTTGGTATGAAAATATAATTGATTGATGGGGCTAGTCTAGTAATTTGGTAAATATGGTATAGAAGACCATCATTTCCGGACGAAGCTGTTTCCCGCCAACTGAGAGAAGCGAGCGAAGATCCCTCTTTCGGCTTGTATTTTGCTGCTGCTTCGTCTTCCCGAAGCTAAAATCCTCTCAGTCTCAGAGATTGAGGAATGAAGGGTGGAACTTTACAAATAAACTGGCATGAAACCAAACCAGTCCTTTCCCTTGATTTCCACTCAATCACCGCCACTCTTGCTACAGGAGGCGCCGATTTCGACATCAAGGTGCTTCTTCCGATTACCTTCTAACCATTCTTATTTCTTAACATTTTTACTCAAGACTTATTAAGCAGGCAACTGTTTTTTTTTTCTTTTTTCCCCTCTCGTGCATAAGATTTTGTTTTAGTCTTATAGTCCGTTTGACAGAATTTGGGGTTTCGGGTTTTCGTGGGTCTGATTTGAAGTGAGACTTAAATGCTTAACAATCTCGGAAAATATTTTTTTTCTTCAATATTTTTGTTTCGGGATTTTGTGTAGTTTCTCCAGAAAATGTCCCTGAGCTCCTCTCTATTTTTGATTATGTGATGTACATTATTTGGATTTTGTCCGAGCAAGAAAATTGTTGATTATACAACGGTTAATGGTGGATTGTTCTTCTTATAATATTGTAAACTTTAGTAATGCTTATGGAATTGGTTTACATTTTCATTAGAGTAGAAGAAACTGCTGCCATAACGTTCTCAATATTTAATAGTTTTTAAACAAATGCGTTTAAAATTATATCTTCATATTTAAATGTCTGGTTTTTGTTTAGAAAGATAGGATGCTTGAGCTGTACCTTTGATCTGGTACAATAGAGGTGGATGCATCATTGATATTTTTTATTTAATTACTTGTTTTTTTTTTTTAACTTACCTTGATTTGGAGAATAATTTGAACCAAGAAATATCATCTTTGTAAGGGAGGAGGAGATACTATTTGGACTACGTAGACCAGTGATCTCGTTTTTACTGTTGAATCATAGAATATCCCTGGTATTTTTAACCTTTGTTTGAGTTCCAATATATCAGTGTGGGACATTTTCGATTATTCCCCTGACTTGTGTTTCACAGCATTGCTGATGAAAAATGCAAATAAGATTGAGAGTTTTCCTTCTCCATCTGACACTGGTTCAATTAAAGAACAATTAAAACAATACCTCTTGAAAATTTCAGCATGTTTTTTTTTTTCCTTTTTCTTTTTGGCTTTCACCAGGCTAGACTAACTATTGATTTGTACCCTATATTTCCAGCTGTGGTCTGTAAAACCTGCAGAGGCACAAAAGAAACTACCTGTAGTGACCTATCTGAATAGCTTGTCTTATCATAGTTCTGCAGTAAATGTAATTCGTTTCTCCTCTTCAGGTAAGTCAGTATCACTGGTTTCCTCTCCCTCTCTGTCCACTCAGGATTGATAGCAGTTTCACGATATAATGTTTTATTTATTAGTGATAGGAAATTTTATCCTGCACCAAAGTATTTGACAACAGTATTAGTTATTTTGATACACAATGACCTCTAGTATCTGAGCTATCTAGATTCTAAAATGTTATCTTTGTATACACTATAGAATTCTGATGTTTAATATAAGTAGAGGAATAAATCGTTAGTTGTTAGTCAGTTAGAAATGTTAGTCGTTTTAGCCTTAGGGTTTGACTAGGTTAATCCTATATAAAGGGCTGTGATGTACTTAATTCTCTTATGCTTATGAAATTTCTGAAGTATTATTCAGAATCTCTTCTCTATCCCTCAATTCTTCTCTCTACTCCTCTCTCTCTCTCTCTCTCTCTCTCTCTCTATTCTTCATTGTTCTTTTCTTCACTATACACCAGTGGTATTAGAGCCATTGATGCTCGGATTGTATGCTAGAAACTCAATTATAGAAACAACAAATAACCATGGCTGATCACAACAACAACTGTCTTCGTGCCTTAGAGGATGCCACTTCTGAGATGGCAAGTCTCCCGACTACCATACAAGCCCTTACCAATCAAGTAGCCTAGATAATCAGAGACCACAATAAATCCCAATTTCAGTGGATAAATATCCTTGTTTAAATATTCCTAATGGATAATCTTAATGTCTTGAATAAATCCTAATTATTCTAATTAACCATTATCCTATATTCCATCATTTCCCTATTTGCCTAGAGATGTGACTATAGAAGCTGTTAATGGAACATTTGTAGCACAAGAAGAAGCTCTAGGGATGGTAAATTATTATCTCAATAGGGCTGTCAACAGAATCAAACAAAAGGCAGACCTACATAAGAGTGATAGAGAACTTGAGGAAGGACAGCGGGTGTTTGTAAAGCTGCAACCGTATTGCCAAATTTCTGCAGCATCAAGGAGCTCTCAGAAATTAGCTCCAAGGTACTTTGGCCCCTATAGAATCTGTAAAAGAATAAGTCCAGTGGCGTACAAGTTGGAGTTACCTCCAGAATCTAGAATGCATTCAACTTTTCATGTGTCTTCGCTCAAGCTCTGCCCTAATCTGTCTGTGAAGCAACGGCATCCACTTGTGGATTGGCCTGAGCCTCCTCCAAGTCTTATTTCAGAAAAGATTTTAAATAAACAAATGGGAAGAAGAAAGGGGAGAATTATTACTGAGGTGGTTGTGCAGTGGAAAGGTCTTCCTGATGAAGAAGCACGCTGGGTTTCTTTATTCCAGCTACAGAAGCAGCACCCTTATTTTGTAATTTCTGACCCTTGAGGACGAGGGTTCTTCAGGGGGGGTATTGATGTGTAATCATAATAAGTAGAGGAATAAGTTGTTAGTTGTTAGTCAGTTAGAAATGTTAGTTGTTTTAGCCTTAGGGTCTGACTAGATCAGTCCTATATAAAGGGCTTTGACGCACTTAATTCTCTTATGCTTATGAAATCTCTCAAGTATTATTAAAAATCTCTTCTCTATCCCTCAATTCTTCTCTCTACTCCTCTCTCTATCTATTCTTCACTGTTCTCCTCTTCACTATACATCAAATTCATTAGCAGTTTGAAAGAGGTTCCTCATGGTCATGGAAATGGTTTCTACTTGCCTTTAAAAGCTTCCAGAAAATAACAAGCAGCCTTAACTAAAGTTGATAGTTCTAAAATTCTAATTTTAGTCCTTTGTCCCTCTTCTAAATTAATTACGCAGACTCTGAAGCACTCTTTACTCCTTTTGGTTACTGTTAAATTTTTATTTTCACCAAGAAAAATTTGGGTGATGCTATCATCTACTAAGAACAATATTTTGCTTGATGCAGGGGAACTCTTGGCCTCTGGTGCTGATGGTATGTCTTTAACTGCCTTGTTGAACTGCTTTAATTGCTTTAGATTTTGATGATCTAAATAGGCGAGGTTTCTTGACTGGATTTTCCATATTTTCAGGAGGTGATCTTATAATATGGAAGTATCATCTGACAGATACAGATCAGACATGGAAGGTCCTTAAGATGTTAAGGTAAGAGTCCCTTGATTGGATTCATCTGTGAGCCCTGCATATATTATAAATTAATATAATGTAGAATAGGCAGTATTTTGGTTTGATATAATTTCTATTGTGAATTTTATATTTCCGTATGCAATTATTATTTTATAGCCTAGCCAACCAATTAATAATGTCCTTTTATTCATGGTCTTCTTTTCAATATTGATGTAGGGTCTACTTTGGGCTTGTTTGGTTCTGTTTTCTGTTTTTATGTTCTCAAAACAATTTTGTAGAGTAGTTTTTCAGAACAAGTTTTGGAAACAAGAAATGAAAAAAATCTGTTTGAATCATTATTTTGAAAAAATGAATCTAAATTGGTGAAATAAAAGGTGAAAAAATAATTTATTTTATTAACATAATTTTCATTAATGATAGCATAATATTTTCTGCCTTTTCTCTAATTTTGCATGACAAAAGTGACAAAACATGTTGGTTTTTTAGTTCTTCAGATCAACTTTTAACTTTTGTGTTTTTCAGAACAAATAACAGAAGATACATTTTCAAATAGGTTATTTCATTTTTTTTTTTTTTCAAAACCAAAAACTGTTCTGAAAACAGGTAGTCAAACAGTTTGAAGGCTATGATGTAGAAATGAAGACTATACTTGACATTAACTATAAATTATGATGGAACTACTCATCAATCTGAGGGCGCTAAATCAGCTATCCCTTTTGGTTTTCCTATTGGATTTCTGTTTCTAATAAATATATTTTAAATATCAGTACCTTTTTACCCCCTAAACTCATGCTTGGGCCATTTCATTCTTATCATGAATTTTCTGTGAAATAGGTCTCATCACAAGGACATTCTGGACCTTCAATGGTCTCCTGATGGCACATTTTTAATTTCTGGGTCAGTTGATAATAGTTGCATAATATGGGATATTAACAAAGGTGAGAATGGCAACAAATAATTCCAGTATGTTTGAACTAGTATGCTTTAACTCTGGTAGAAGGAAGTTGGAATGTTTTAATTGTAACATTTGCTGATCATATCTGTTTTTATATTACTGATTGTGCTTGATTTTTATGTCTCAGGCACCAATCTTCAGACATTGGATGCTCATGCCCATTATGTTCAAGGAGTTGCATGGGATCCTCTAGGGAAATATGTTGCTTCTCTTAGTTCTGACAGAACTTGCCGAATTTACATTAATAAACCTAAAAAATCTAAAGGAAGTGGGAAAATCAATTTTGTCTGCCAGCAAGTTATTTCCAAGGCAGTACATCCATTACTAGATAATTCTAAGGTTAAGATAAATTGAATCATATGCTATCTTTAAATGTATAGATTGATTTGTCATATGCATGAACCTTACAAGGTTTTTGGAATGCAGTCAACAAATTATCATCTTTTTCATGATGAGACACTGCCGTCTTTTTTCAGAAGACCAGCATGGTCTCCTGATGGTTCATTTCTTCTTGTGCCTGCAGGTACTAACTTGAGCAAATTCTGGTTCAATTTATTTTGGAAATTTTGTCTCTTTGTGGTAATACATAATTCTTTCTCTGGTTTTGTGGGTCAGAGGTTGTGATAAGCAGTGTGCAGATTCTTCTATATGGCTCATTCTTTAGCTAACCATAGAATATTCTAACAAAATTGATTTGGATAGTGTTGATTGAATTGGTTATATTGCTGATAACTTTTATTTGCTTCAGCCTGATAAGGCTCTTCATTTTGTGGTTTTGGATGGTGAAAAGGTATACTTGTCTCTAGGTAGTTGTAAATTTTTCCTTTGCAGTTTGGTCTGACTTTTTGCAGTCAAGTTGCAACTTAATGTGCTTTCTTTAGTATTTGATGGTGCGTGGAAATTGTATCATGTCGGTCTCTTCCTTTCAGGCTCTTATTTTCTGAACGGTTGTTGCTCTATGTTATCTATTTTTAAAACGTGCCTTACCTATTTCAGGCTCATACAAAATTACTTCTGGGTCTGAATCTGTAAATGCTGCTTACATATTTTCTAGAAAGGATCTCTCTCGGTAAGCCTACCAGATTTTTCTCCTTCACGTGATGAAATCTTTCTGCTTCAAATGCTGAAGATGGTTTGCAAAACCAAGACATTGAAAGAAACAAAAATCCTTGAGATTATCTGTGATACTTTAATACCTAACATGCTATCTTATATATATTCATGGACCAAGTTCCAAAGGTATTTTGTTGTGATTTGCCTGATATGCAGGCCTGCCATACAGCTTCCTTGTGCAAACAAAGCTGTTGTTGCTGTCCGATTCTGCCCTGTTAATTTCAGCCTTCGGGGAACAAATTCAGGTAATTCTGTGCTTCGTACTTGTACATCAGCTCAATCACACTGTATATATGATTTAGGTGGCCATTTCTTCAATCATGTGGAACCCTGCTTAATTCTGGCACTCTGTCCCATAAAGTGACCTCCAAAGTTGAACTGCTATCTTATAGAAGCATACTGCAAGTCTTGGAGAATGTATACCCTTACTGAGGCATGATAATTATTGTATTCATCTGTGCAGCTGGGTTATTTAAGCTTCCCTATCGCCTCATTTTTGCGGTGGCCACTCTGAATTCATTGTACATTTATGACACTGAGAACAATCCTCCCATAGCTGTAATGGCTGGTCTCCACTATGCAGCAATAACAGACATTGCATGGTAAATGTTTTAGTGGCTACCAGGTCCCTTTTTTATGTTTTTGTTTAAGAATTAATGCAATTGTGTGCCATTGGGGAAAGTTTTTAACTGCTTCCGACATTGTTCAAAAGGTCACCAGATGCTCATTATTTGGCATTGTCCTCTCAAGATGGTTTCTGCACATTGGTGGAATTTGAAAATAACGAATTAGGAACACCTATCTCTTCATCAGGTAGCCCCCTCCCTTTTCTTTTGCTGCTTTATCATATCTTCACTACTGATATTTCTAATATTTCTGTAACATACTGGTGTAGGAGAAAAGAAAGTTTCTGATAAGGATCAGACTCAACTGAAGACATCTGACAATTTGGTCATTGAAGCTACCACAAGTGGCAGTACGGCTGAAGCAAAAAGCATGAAAAATGAAGCAGGAGGAAAGGCTGATGACATGATCATTGAATCAACTAGTAATATTGGTGTAGTTAATGCAGGAACCGGGAAAGCTGAAGCAGAAGAGAAGGTGACGACATGGTTGCAGAAGCAAGTGGGAATGTTGGGGCAGTTGTAGCAGAAAGCAGGAAAAGGGAAGCAGAAGAGAAGGATGATTTCAGGGTAATTGAGGAAACTGGCAATGTTAGTGGTGTTGAGACAGCTGGCAGGAAAAGTGAAGCAGAAGAGAAGACCGATGACATGATCATTGAGAAAACTGGCAATGTCGGTGAGTTGTGGCAGCAAGCCAGGAAAGTGAAGCCGAAGAGAAAGCTGTCATGGTCATTGAAGCAACTAGGAATGCTGGTGCAGTTGTAGCAGACAGCAGTAAAAATGAAGCAGAGAAAAATCCAGTGAGTTCAGATACTGCGAAATCAGTTGAGCAAGACAAGACAGAACATCTATCGGGTTTGGATGTTGTAAGAAAAGAAGTTGAAGAGAAGACACAGAAACAAACATCTAGTTTGGACAAAAGGGAAGCAGAAGAAAAGGTAACTTGTAGTTCAAGGGGAGCGACAACATCAAATAAGACAGGCAAAAGACGTATAACTCCCATTGCCATTGATCCATGAGAAACACAGGCATGCATCCCCTGCAGTCATCTTATTTGACTCCAGGTACAGGCATGAAATTTGACCTATCTCTAGCCCCCCCTACTCAAGAACTTATATTTTATGGCTTCCAATTTGTTAGTTTTAGGGATGGAATTCTTGCAAGGAAATGGGCAGGCTACCACGCCTATAGCTATTCTGCCAAGTAACTTGAAAGCTGCCGCTCCTACTGTCGCAACCATTTTTACACCCTCTAACCAATCACCATAGCTAAACATATAGTCCTTCCGGTGCATGATATGAGTGTCAGGGGCTAGAAGAAGGGAAGATTTTATGATTGCACCCTGCAGTCGACTGCAGCAATCCATGTCACAGAAAAACACTGCGTGTCTATCCTTGTATATTTTTTGGGCGGCCTACATATGAAAGTCTCTGTTTCCTTTTTTTTCTTGTTTTATGAATTACATCTGGTTATCGATTCTTTAATGTAGATTCCAGTTCTATATTAAGAGAATTCAATCTTCATTGGGAAGAGTAGCCAGCCACCACCATCCCCTAAAGAAAAAAACTGAGTAATGTAATTTAGCAATTTTGTTTTGCACATCTTGGATTACTAAGTTCACGCGTCAAAAATGTGAATAAAAGCAAATTGAATGAAGTTCGGATTAAAAGGGAAATACCATATTAGTATAATGAATCTAAGGAGTCGAACAGTAGTACTTGATAATAACAAAGGAATTGAGTGCGAAAATATTCTTGAAAGCGCTGAAACATTTCGATAGAAGAGATTCGTGAATGATTATTTACTCTGTCCTGTCTGAATTTCAATGCCAGAAGAGTACAATTTTCTTTGATGGAAATTGATATGTTAAGCTGAACATGGTTTCATTCATTCAATTGATTGATTAGTTCCAGAAGTTGATTCTTTGGAATCAGGATCACGAGGGCTTCCATATTCTGATTTCTTGCGTATACCTTCCATAACAGACTTCTTTTCAACCTCTTGTTGAATGTTCACATCCTCCTCTATGGATAGCACCTTGACTTCTTCACCATGTGGACGTGCAACAATGATTTCACGCACCTTCACACGTTCGTCAATTTCTGCAATCTGGGACTTTCAACTCTCCTTTTCTTTCTAAGGAAGCAGCACAAAGCAATAGAGAGGAAAGCACGAACGAATAGACCGCCAAGTGAAACAAGTACAACAGCTATGACAGTATGAGAAGGTGAAGGTACTTTTGGTGGAGATGATGAACTCTGAAGGTGCCATATATATTAATGATGCAAGAAGATCAGAACTAGTTTCTCTTTTTCGGATTTTGGAGTGCTAGGAAAATGGAGATGGCGGACATTGCAAGTGAGGGTATACATGTGTATTCGTGAATGAGCAAGCCTTGTTTACTTGGAAGCTTTAACTAAATTAGCCTTTAGGCCAAGATTTTGACGGGCTGTGATTGTTCGCGTTGGAAAAACACCTCTCTATTATGAGTTATGAGACTGTACCTCAATATTATGTGAGGGGCTTCTTCTTTCTTTTATAATATTTTTTTTAGAAGAAGAATGAAATTTTTGGTCTTTTAATTATCAATTTGAATTTTAAAGTTAATTTTTATCAAAATAAAGTTCATAAAATTTACTTTAATGTCATTGGACTAACAATTTTTTCTGAAATTCATGAAGAGGTTGTCGTCCTTGGGTTAAACGCTCCTCAACATGTGTTTAGGATTACATGTCTTCAAACTATAAGGACTAATTATATAATTATAAAATTTTAAGGACTTAATTAATAAAAATAATAATTAAGAAAATTTTAAGAATCAAATCAATAATTAAGATAAATTTTAAAGGCTAAATGTTTTATTAAAAATTTACTTCTAATCTAATCCTTCATTATAAAAAAGAGGACTAACACACAAATATGTCAACATTAAATTGACGGGGTCTAAGAGAATAATAGAATGACATGTTGGGACATTGTCTTTCCTTTTTTGATTTAGTATCTATTTGCATTTTGCATGCGTCTTGTCCGTTTGCGCAAAAAAAAAAAAAAACAAGTGTCCCCTTGTGTAGAATCTATGTTGTCCATTAAATTACTCTTTATTCTACACTCTACTCATGATGCAAAATCTATGTTGTCGACTAATTTAATGATTTGAAAAATTTTATTACAACCAAAATCAAGAAATACTGAATCCAAATATCCTAAAATAGCATCACATGGTGAATGTCTACCTCATTTCTTATTTAAAATTCAAAACTTCTTAAACAATTCAAAATTTTCATGCTTTCCTTACCCATTATTGGTATAAAATCTTCCTCCGTTTTCTATGACATTGAGGAATGAATGAAAGAACAAACATTAATATAACAATATAAATCCATTCATAAATAATACGGAAAATTACAACCAAATCTTACACAAAAAAATTGAGCACTATAAGGTTCATTGATAACTAAATTAAATGTCATTAACAATTGATTGTATTCTCAATAGCATTTAATTCAATTTTTAATGAACCTTATTATAATTAATTTTCTTATATAGAACTTCAATGTAATTCTTCCTAAATAATATGTAATATAAACTCATCATAATACAAAAATCGTGGTAGGAAAGATAGATGCAAAATACCATAATATGATATAAAAATAATAATATAGGCATGTATTGTTTTTTGAATTTTAGGCGAGAAATAGAATGGGCATTTAGTTATGCCATTTAAAAGATTTGGATTCAGTATTTTGTGATTTTGGTTGTAAAGAGATTCCACAAACTCTTGATTTAATGGACAGCATGAACATGAGAATATAGGTAAGGCATGGGATCCAAATCTCAAAGAAACAAGGAAACGGGTGACAATTTGGCACTGGATCTTTTTCTTTCTATAGCTGTTAATGGATGAAGCTCTGAAACAAGTTTATTTTCAAGGCTATTAAAATTGGAGATTCTGAGCACGCATCTCAACAATCACCCGGTGTTCCTGAAGCTTATTTGATACCCACACCATCCATGTAATCAGAATTCAGAGGCTATAGAAGAGAATGCAAAATATGTATTTTGTATTTCTTTAATGCATAAGTCGATGATCACCAACCATGTTTCAACTGCATGAGTAATCATGAACCTATTGACAGGATGATATTTTGTTTGAACTTTAAACTATATGAATAAGCTTTTGTTATTATGATGGAATCCATGTCATTAAGAAATTTGTAAGGTCTGGGAATGAGTCACAGGCTAGTATATGCGTTGGAGCTCTCCAAACAATGTAACAAATGCACAAGGCTTGCACAAATTTAAAGAGAAGATGTAGAAAGGAAGATGAAATCTTATTTTTGCATTTTCACTATTAAATCTCAGTTTTAATTAGATTGAAAGAAAAAAAAATGGGCCTTTTTTTTTTCCTGCAAGTATTAATGGACTAAGAATCGAACATAAAAATGTTTGAGTATCCTGCAATCATGCCAAGAAGAAGCCGAGTTGGAGAGTTTACATGCAATCATGCTCACCCATGAAACCTGGCTCCAACAATATCAGACTCAACACCCACAAAGGCCGATCTAGCCATGCACAATAAATATACTGAATTCCAGTAATTCCTTTGGCCGTGTTCCTCATTCCAGTCTAAGGAAGCGGATGATCTTCGTGAGGTAATAGTAAGGTCACATGCCAACTTTGTAGAATGACAGAGACAGGACAATCTATCTATTACATGCTTCTTTAGGTATGGTTATTTCTACATGGTTACTGCACCAGACGTCGCCAAGAAAAAGGTCACGTTATCACAAGCTTGGCCTTGACAGGTTGAGATTGTTTGCACTGAAAAAACACTCCTCAGATGAGACTGCCCCTCAGCTATTAGGGAGGGGCCTCGTGTGTCTTCCAATGTTTTTCCTTGCAATGAACTTCGAGGTATTATTATTATTTTAAAAAAAAAACGACTAGTGAAGCCCTAATTGGAATAGGTAGGGATCCAATTTGTTATATATATATATATATATATATAAGTATTCTCTTATGGGATATAATTAATTAATTATATTCAAAACACTACCAGACATTAAATGCGGACACATTCACTGATGAAGATTTGAACATTAATTTATCACATTGAAAAAGAATCAGCTCATTGCACTAGATTTAAATTAACAAGGGTTATGAGTCTTTGATTTTAAAGACATTTTTGTGACTCAACCTCAAACCCCACTGGTTTCTGCTCTGCTGTAACTAAGACCTCACCTTGTGGTTTCTTTCTTTTAAGGAAAAATCATGACCGCAGACGGGGGCTTTTGTTTTGATAAGAACCAAAAGGTATTTTTGTTAGCCAATTTCTAACATCTTAATTTAAATATTTCATTCAATTCAAGTAAAAGGATAAACAACATTCTGGTCAGCCCATGCTCTGCAATATCTAGTATAAAAAATCAAATTCTATGTTAGGCACTTTCTTGATTGCTAAAAGCATTTAATTATTCTCAATTGTGCATTTTTAAGCTAACTTGCAAGAATTTGATGAACTTGCAATATCTTTGAGATTAATTTTCACTTAGATATCCAGAATTGAGTCAAGCTATTCAATGTTCTAGCAATACAACGTATCACACACTCTTTCTGCTCAACGCATCTAATTCACTCTCAAAGCTAAAAGAAAATTGCCAGTGAAGGGGAAGCAACACAGCTCCATTCAAGATAATGATTAATATGAAACATCTCTGACAGGACAATTGAAAACTGAAAACCAGTGCACTTTAGTGATTCTTGCACACGCATTTCTCTTTGCGTTTTATGGTGGCTATAACATCATCATGACCAAAACAAGAGCCATTACATCCAGACAAAATCGTTACGTCCAAAACACTCTTTCCATTATGAGATAGATACAAAGAATTGGACAAAGAATAAAAGGCAATATATATATATATATATATATGCCTCGATCCCTATTACATTAAGTTTTGGTGAATCTGGTGGAACTGAACTGTGCACTTGTAGAAGATGGAGAATAATGAAAGAATGGTCCTTGCAGCTTTGCTTGTAATTGTTCCTTTTTAGTGAATAGGAGTTTCCAGTTTTCATTCCAAAAAAAAAAAAAGGTGCACTTGTCGCTTGCTCTTAGGAAAACAGGTAAAATCTAAAGCAGTACATAGAACACTAACGGAAGATGGCTGTAGGGCAGTAGCAATCTCTGAATGAACAGTAGCTTCCCAGGGTGATAATGTCAGGTTGTGAGTGAGCTCTGGTTCAGCCATAGAGTCTGAACTGTGAGGTATGCTAGTCAAAATACAAATCAAAGAAAGCCAATCTTTAATTTGCAGCCAGAAGTATAGTCAACCTGAGGGCAGAAGTTATTGACAAGAATAAGCTACTACAAGAACAAATAGTACGTCTAATAGAATAAAGTAAGAACTTGTTTTTGGGACTGGATCAAGAAAAAGGACTGCCAGGACAAATTGTTATTTTGACTCAGATTTCATTTCATTTGGATCAACAAAACTTGAGTAAGCTTAAACCACACAAGATGCTCCAAGGCTGAATGAAAGAAAAAAACATAAGAAAGAAACTGAACTCACTCTATGATTTCATGTGCTGGAAACGAAATTCATAATTGGTAGATAGTTGTGAAAGGATAATTTCATTCCACGTATCAGGTACTCCAGGTAGACACCAGTGGCTACAATCTTGGATAGATGGATTATCACTCCAGTTACCAACATGTGCATCACTTCGAAAAGCTGTCATAGATGTGACATGAAGAACATTGATGGGAACTGTGACATTTTTTACTACTTCAGAAACTATGTCTGAAAACAAACTTTGGTCCCTTCCATCAGTTTCTAGCATGGGGTACTGGGTCACGGTGCAAGTCCACTGAGGTTGATCACTGATTCAGACAAGACTGGATCAGTAAGGTTGGCCAGTGCAAATTTAAACTAGAAAATTTTCATTTTTCAGATTGAAAGCTTGGGGAACAATTGACATTTCAAAAGGCTAACATTCCAGCATAATGGAAAACACAAGCTAAAGTGAGCAAAAGCAGCCACTGAAGCTACAAGCCTACAACGATATAATGATGTCCTAAAGGCGAGAAAGGTGAAGAAAAAGATAATACAACACGGCTCTTATATCAGACAGGCTCACCAGGAGAAAGAGTAGATTCAAAAAAATCATACATAGGAAAAAACCTAACAACTTTTAATAGAGCATCATGTTACCAACTAGGTAGGAATACCTCCAGTGGGATGGCTCATAAGTCCTAAAGAAGACACGTGTTCTATTTTTGTTGATATTTCTCTCTATCCATGACGCCCAAGTGCCAAGTGCCGTTTTGAAGGCGATAGGAATTGACATCCCAATTTTCAATGACCTTCCGAGTTGGAAATAGCAACCCCTGTTGCATTCAGATAAAATACACAGGCAGAAACAAACTTAAAAACCACACCGATCTTGGCGGATGAAAATACACCTCAAGTCTCACAAACATAATTCATTATCTGATTGTATAAAGATATGTACTAAATATTATGTCAAAAATAAGTCTTTCTGCTTTAATTTGAAACAGAGGATAGTTAAAAAAAAAAATCAATAAGGCTAATTAGTGAACAATATCAGGATAAAACTAGACATGTCTCAATATTCATTGGCTACGACAAACATAACCAAAAACCAAGTGAGATAGAATAAAATCAATACTCAAGTGCATAAAGTCTCATTCATCTCGATTGTCAAGTATCTTGAATGTGAAAACAACTGCAGAAAGGACTTATGACAACAATTGGAAAGGCAATTCACCCCGACATCTAAGAATACGTTTATAAGCAGCATTTTGTCAGAATTTTCTTGCAGCTCTGGTTTATATCATGGAGAAGTTCAACAAACATCACTTGCAATTTCCTTGAACAATAGCATTTCAAAACTACAAAATCAATCACAAGCTATTAAAATAAACTGCTTTGCAAGCTTTGCCATTGGTAAAGATAACTAAGAGAAGTAAGAGTGAAGCAATAAACAGCAGAAGAAAAAATTGTATCCAATATGTCCATAAACATAATGACACTAAACTGAGTATTGAATGTTACAAAGAAAAGAACTTACGCGTCAAAAAGTTTAGATGGCACCCACCAATGCCCAGTGTTGAATATAAGAACATCAGAATCAACCCACCGGTCACTAATATCATCCAACCTGTCCAATCTAAGCGTTGATTTAACCCTCTTTGGTGCATGTTTAGGTACCGGACCTGGTTGTACTAGGAAAACCGATCGAAAAAATTCAATGGTAAAATTGAAGGCACTGAACCGAACGCCTAAGAATCTAATTCTCTTTGATATCTTATTTTGGTTTACTTCATAAACGCTCTGTTTATCTCTTACACCAGTCATCAGCATACATATCAGTGACTCCCATTGAGTCCTACTCATAGAATCGCCAACGAAAACAATTCTCTTGCCTCGAAACATCTCCAGAACACTACTTGCATCAAACCTCGGAATATCACAATCATTGGGTTTCCACCTCCAATTAAGATAACTCGAGTCTTTTCGTCCATTAGCGAAGCAATTGAATCCTCGTTCTACAAAAGGGCACTCTGACGCATTGTACAATGGGAACGGCGGCTCCTGGACCCACCTTCCCTCATAAACATCACAGCTTTTTAACGATCTGTTAAAGTTGGAGACACGCTGGTCGTGAAAGATAGCGTGGCTAAGGTTAGGGAGTAAGTACAGATATCCTACACCAGTGGCCACGAAGAATGAAATTAGGGACCCAACAATCACAAGCACGTGAACGTGAAACCACCGGGAGAGCCAGAGCCGTCTGAATCGGTTAGCTTTAGGACTCGCAACACTGATGGACCTTCGATTGAAGGACGTCGTCGTCGTTATTGAAATGCCCCGATTCAAAACACTCATAATCCCAATCATCCACCGCAACAAACATATCAGACGTTCAAGTTCAAGTCTGTAATTTGTAAGATAGCATGAACCGAATCGAATTTCAGATTCAAGAGTGAAAACGGAAGAGGTTGTGCAGCTGAAATTGATGGTGAGAGGTCTGAACTTTGAAGTTTGAAGTTTGAAGGAAGAGCTGAAAACAACAGAGAACGAGACCCTCGGTACCGGGAAGTACGGATGTAGAAACTGTGGACATAGGTGCAATTGGGATGGAAGACGAAGGTCAATGTGGTCAATTCGCTGGAAGCGACACTTCTACAATCTTCCAAAAATCCTGATTCCTGACTCGTGAGTTGCGAATGCCACGATGCCCGAGGAAGCACAATTATAAATAGGTTATTAAATCATAATTTGATCCTAAATTATAAGGTTAGAAACGATTTAAATCTGAACTCATAGTTAATATATTTTAAATCTGAATAATCAAATTTGGGTAATGTCGCCTTCACTGTTTTTTTTTTCCAAGCAAAACAAGCCATTTTATTAATATCATTAAAAAACATTATACTCATTAATCTTCTTTAAAGGAAAAAGTCAAAAAACCTATGATTACAACCCATCAAAATTATGGAAAAGTGAGTAAACCTAAAGTACGACCTACAAGAAAATAAAGGAAAGCAAGTAAACCTAAGTTACACAACCTATGAGAAAACACAAACAAAAACCAACAAATATGAAACTGCCACCGTCAACTAATACCCACCTTCAACTTTGCCTCAGTGCTTCCACCATTAAGATCATCCTACATTATTATAACCAGAGAAAATGGTGGCCATCCTTGCGGTACCATGCTTCTCATAACACCAGCTGCCAAATAATCTACAACACCATTACCTCCACAAGCCACAAGGGCTATAGAACAATTTTTATCAGCATAAAAAAAACTCAAAGCACTTCAGCAATAAATCCAAACAAAACCACTCACAGCCAATAGCATCTCTAGTCAAAACCCTCTTATATAAATCTTGACAATTAGTTTTAATTATTACATTCACATCACTGAATAAATATTTCATCATCAAAGCTTCCAATAGAGCCAAGCACTCTATCATAAAAGCAGAATCAGCAGCCAGTTCCTTCCCTAAACCATCCATGAATTGACCCATATAATCCCTGCTAATCAATCCAATAGCTGCTTTCTTCCTTTTAACACAGAATGCCCCATCTACATTCACCTTCATGCAACCTAATTCTAGCTTCCTCCAACTAGTGGCTTTATTATAATCCACAGCAGATATCTGCACTTTCCTTTTTTGGCTTGCCAAGGAGTTCCAAAATTCATCCACCATTCCTATAGCTTTCCTGAGACACAAACCAGCATTAATATCTACATGTTCAAACAAGAAATTGTGCTTGGTTTTCTAAATCATCCAGCATAAAGTTGTAAATAGCAATTGCATCGTCATCCAACCCATCATTTCCCATAATCCACTCTTCCCACCATTTATCCAATCTAGTTACCTTCCATTTATCAAACTTCAAAGCCAAGGGAGATCAATACCAGCAACTCTTAACCCACGAACAAAAAAACAACAGATGCTCAATAGTCTGTATCTGCTCATGACAGATGCAACACCCTAGATCAGACATGCATTGCCTTTTAAACAAAGCATCTCTGGTAGCTAAAGCACCATGAACAGCATGCTAGGGAAAATGAGAGATCTTTGGAGGCATTTTCACTTTCCAAATATCCTTCCACACCCCCTTTGCTGTCATATGCAAAATACCAAGATTTTTCACAGTCACACATTTCTCTTCCTCCATAGCCACCTCATTTCCCAATTTGAGAACATATGAACCATCTTTACTTCTCAACCAAATCTGCTTATTAGCACTCCTTGTTAATGGCATTCTAATCTTACAAATCTACTCCTTCTCCTCCAAACTAATCCATTCTTCAATTAATCTCAGATCCCATATGCCATTATCAATCAATCACATACCCTTAAATCCCTTAAGTCCGCCTAGGATACTACACCAAAGCTTTCACATTTCATAGCAGTCTCGAAAGACAAGCAATTCATTCTCAGTAGGTTCATTGCACCATGAGTAAGATGAGTTCGACATCAGACCACATTTCAAGTGTAACTGATTCGTGAGGAGCTTGTTATGGGCCATAAGCCACATGAATGTCTTGGTTCGCTATGGGCATTGAAGCTGCCAGATTCTTTCCCAATTATATACCCCTGCCAGGGTCATTGTTATTTATAAGACAATAAGCCGACCTCACCGAAAAGGCTCCACTTCCCATTTCTATTTGACAGATCCACTATCACCATTAACCTCAATACCCACCTGCACCTTATCCCAAGTAGCCCTGATTCCTGCCCAAAAATTTGATCCCGGTCTCTTATTATCAATCTGTGGTAGGAGATCATTTCCACATTTGTACTTCTCAGAAATGACTTTAACCCATAACGCATCACGGTTAATAAGGTTCCAACCTGCTTTCATCATGAATGCTTTATTTTGTGAAGCCATATGGCAAATGCCTAACCCACCCCTTTTTTAACTACTACAAACCGCACCCAAGTTCAATAAATGAATCTTTTTATTCTCATTTGTATGACCCCTGAGAAATTCTTTGCTACTTCTATCTAGCTGGTCACAAGTACTTATAGGTAGATTGGAAGTTTGCATAGTGTAACTAGGAATAGTTGTAGTAACGACAGAAACCAAAGTTGCACGTCCCGCAAGAGACAAAGAGGAAGCCTTCCAATTTGACTAGCGGAATTTCACCTTATCCACCTTATCCTTAAAAGAATCCTTATCAACATGCTTATGATGAAGAGAGACTCTCAAATAGTTCCCCAACTCTGCAGTTTTATTAAACCCCAACATCTAACTAATATCCTCCCGTTTGCTATTATGGACATTTTCAACAAAAAAAAAAGGAAAGAAAACATCCTGGTTTTGGAGGCATTCACTTCCATCTTAGAGAAGTTATAAAAACACTGTAAGACTTTGCTAATAACATAAGCTTGCTGTAAAGATGCGTTAGCAAAGAGGAGGATATCATTAGCCAAAAATAAATGAGAAATAGGAGGACCAATTTTACCAAGCCAAATGGATCTCCAGTTACTTGAGCCAATCTGTTGCTTGATTAAATGAGCCAGCTTCTCCGTGTGCATAACAAAAAGATAAGGAGATAATGGACCTCCTTCGTGCACCGACGGGATGATTTGAAGCCATTAGCTCTCCTTCCATTCCAAAGAAGTTGCATATTAATTGTTGTTACAAAACGACATCAATTATATAAGAGGGAAAATTAAGCTCCTGTAAGCAAGTGATAAAAAACTGCACTTAAGTTTGTCATATACTTTCTCCACATCTATTTTAATAGCCATAAACCCACAACAACCCTTCATGATACGTATAGAGTGGACTACTTCTTGTGCCACCACAATGTTACCAGAGCTATGTCTACTTGAAACAAAACTGCATTGATTAGGAGTGATCACCTGAGGCAGAAAACTCTTTATTCTATTAGCCACAATCTTTGTATTGGATTTAAAAAATAAAAATGAGTACCTTAGTTTCACTTGATTGATAAACAAAATTTGCAACAACAAAAAAAAAAAGTCATTTTCTATTTAGTTTTAGTCACTGAGGTAATTATTTTTCAAGTAAAGTAATTCTTTTTTAAGGTGCAATAGTCACTGAGGGCAAATATATCATTTTATCAAGAATTAAAATGTGAGACAAGTCCTAGGGGAATAAGTCCTAGGGGAATAAATAATAATTACCACGTTTCTTGATACTTAATTATCATTTATATTTTCAATAATATTTTTTGTAATTTCTCTACACTAATTTTGTTCCATATTTAATAATAACAAAACCATAATTGAGTGAATGAAGAGTAATCTACATTATGTAATCTCTAAACAAAATCTATAAGTAAACAATTTATATGAATTTTTTTTTCATATTTTGATTCCATAATGGCATTATCAAGGTTTTGAAGCTCATCAAACATACTATTGACCACAATTTTTTGTTTCAATTTGAAGTTTTATTCCCATATCATCCATTATCTTAATTAATAAAAAATCAATCTCCTTGGTCAAACTGAGCATTAGTTTGTCTGTTATGAGATGAGTTGGTTCGCCCACTTGCAGCTTATCATAATGATTCTATGATTAAATTATGTTACGGTCTCTTCATTAGATAATGTTCTAATTACCATTTGCAGAATTACATTTAGGGCTCCAATATATAAGCAAGGAAAACTTGGTCAAAAGGACCAAAAGGCCCAATATTACTAGCTCGTGCACTGATTCTTCATGCCTCGGTTAAAAGATACTCCTTGGGTCTTTAATATAGGGTATTTTTGTAAAAATTTATTTTATCTTTAAATATAAGAGAGTGTCATGATATTTTTAATTAATTAAATAATTTTATCCTTACCTTAAAAAAAAAGATATTAATTGTATGCTTTACCTACAACCACCATGATATTAATTGAAATTATTAGGGACAAAATTGAAAAATTAATGTAATTTAATGAGATTTTAACTAAATAATAATTTTTATTTGGTATGAGTGATTTGGTTAAAAACACTTATATAGGGATTGAGAGAGTATAAGGCATTTTTAATCAAATTACACTACCAATCATATTTTCCCTTATTTAATAGAATGTCTCATTTAAAGGTGAAGAATTGAATAGTTTATTTATCAATAATATTTTTTAGAAAAACTCATTAATTACATATTAAAAAAATAAAAATATTTATATTTTTTAACATCTAATCTTGAGAAAGGTATTATATTTTTAAATGGAGGAGATCTTTCATAGTAGCTAGTAAACTTTTAGACCCATGTTAGATTTTGAGTTTTAATTAAATAATAAATATGCATTTTCTCTAATTTTTTATAAGAGAATTTCTTTAGAGAATTTGTTAAAATTTTCAATAAAACAATAGAAGTAATTTCCAATAATTATTCGCATATCATTTTTTAAATAAGCTGTCCTTATAAATTTTTATTACATTTATATCTCATGATGTCTGATCGAAAGATTCAATAACAAAAGGTTAAGAGCAAGAGGAGGGGAAGAAAGTAAGGTGGGCCCATTAGAAGCCCATTAAAAAAAATTTAGTATACCTAGCTTAGGATTGAGAAAAAGAAATTTGATTTTTATATTTGATTAAATATACTTAAAAGTAAAGATACTAAAATGCCCTCGATCTTCACCAAAATGTTTGTCCCCATCACTCCTTTTAATTTCTTCTTCATCGATTAAACCACCCAAA